ATTAAAAAAATTGTCAATTGTTACATTTGGAAGAGCAATAATCCTTGACATCCTTGACACTGAAAAGGAAAAATTTTTCTAAATTATCAATGAATTATTAATTTTTTAAAAAATTTATAGTTTTACTATAGTAAGTAATTTTTTTCTTAATTACCATCAATTCTTTTTATGTTGAGCAAGATGTATTTCGTAGCCATTAGTTTTTAAATAACAGGCAAAACGTTTCCACATTTTAACATCCAATTTGATGAATTTATTCCAGAATTTTTTGTTTTTTAAAATTTCAGAATCGTTATCGTCTTTAGTTTCCTCAAATTTCAAACAATATCTTTTGAAAAATTCTCGAATTCCAGTCGTTAAGTACAAAACACATAAACTTTGACATTTACTTTGTGGAAATATGTTGAACGATTTTTTCTCATTATCAAGGAGTTGTTTTTTAATTTTTTGCAAAATTAATAGAAACTTCCAATAATTTTTTCGACATTACTAAAATCTAAATCACTTGGACTCCCTTTCATTAATTCGCAAAATAACGGCAAATGCTTAGGCTGTGAATTGTTTTCAAATAATTCTCTAATGTATACATTAGAGAATTATTAATTAATTAATTAATTAATGCAAAACAAATCTATAGATTTGTTTTGCATTCTTAAATCCTACATCAATGTCGTTTGGCAATTTTAAATTTAAAAAACTCTTTATTCTACATTTTAAATTTGAAATCATTGAGTTTTTAAAATTAATTTCTAATTCTCGAATGCGTTCATTAATTAAAAACGATTTGTGATGATTGTTAATTTTTTTAAAATCAATTTTATTTGAAAAATCATTAAAAATTTTCATCATTAAATCTTTCGGAAAATCTTTCAGTCTCCAAGTACTACCATAAAGGGGGAGGGCAAAACTATACAATCTAAATGGTTTTTCATTTTTTACAATATATGCAACTATTTCTTTATTTTCTAACAACAATTCCATGAATATTGATAGGAAATAACTATATTCGTTAATAAATTGTATATCTCTTTTAATTCCATCAACTACATCAAGATTAGTTATGTATCGATTGAATAAAATATTTTTAGTTACCAAGGAATGAGATATTTCCATATTTTTTGATTGATCTTCAAAAAAAAGTTGACGTACATTTTTTTATAAAATTCGCATTTTGTACTTCTTTTTGTATTATGTCGAGGCGCAGTAATTCTTCCCAAAAGACATTTGCTCGAATGGACATTTGATCGAACAGCATTTGATCGAATAGACATTCGATCGAATAGACATTTGCTCGAATGGACATTTGCTCGAAAAGACATTTGATCGAAATGTCATTTGATCGAATAGACATTTGATCGAAAAGACATTTCATCGAATGGGCATTTGCTCGAAAAGACATTTGATCTAAAAGTCATTTGATCGAATGGACATTTGCTCAAAAAGACATTTGATCGAATAGACATTTGATCCAAAAGTCATTTGATAGAATGGACATTTGATCGAATGGACATTTGCTCGAAAAGACATTTGATCGAATGGACATTTGCTCGAAAGGGCATTTGATCGAATAGACATTTGCTCGAAAAAACATTTGATCGAATGGACATTTGCTCGAAAAGACATTCGATCGAATCTTTTTTGGCATAAGAGTTTCCCTTCTTTATTCTACATATATTCACAGCTTGAAATACTATGGAAGGTAACTGTTTCCAGAGTTTCAGCTTATTAAAAAAAAACATTTGAAATTTTTTTTTTTTTTTTTGAAAATTTTTTCTCAAATGTCTATTCGATCAAATGACTTTTCGATCAAATATCTTTTCGAGCAAATGTCCATTCGATCAAATGTCTATTCGAGCAAATGTCCATTCGTCCAAATGTCTATTCGATCGAATGCCCTTTCGAGCAAATGTCCATTTGAGCAAATGTCTTTTGGGAAGAATTACTGCGCCTCGTTATTGTACTTAATTTATGTGAATTCTTAGAAATATTGAGACATAGTCCATATGAGGTTGAAATTTCGAACTGAAAAATTAGTCACAGTGTTTTTCTAATGAAACATATTTATCTAAAGCCGTGTGAAAAATCGTTAAAAACTTAAATTTAAATTAATAAACTATTTAAATTTTCCGCGTTGATTATCATTAATCGATATATCGAAAGTCGAGCGAGATGGCAGTCGCTCGTCACCCTCGTCACAGGGAAAATAACAGATGGCATTGCCGGGAAATATTAATGTCAAAATTACCCTTCAATTGTATTAATATTCCCACTTTATTTTAATGATTTTAACTGTTTTACATCGTTTTTTAAACAAAAAACAATGTAACCATTGTCCCATAAATGTTGTGTTATCAAAATAACGTGATGTCATTTATATTGATGACGAAAATTCAGTGTTATTTTTAAAATAATGTAAAGTGAGGTTATGTTTTGATTTCGTTTTTGGTTTTTTATAACAAAATCTTCAAAATTGTTTTTCTTTTCATTTTCATCTATGTTTGACCAAAAAATGGAAAATGTCACTAATAAAGAAACATTAAATCTTCTTGATTTACTGTCAGAAAGTGAATCCGATGTTTCGGATTTGGTGTTTACGCCTCAGAGGAAGAAAAAAATTAAGAGGTAAGTTAACTTTTTTTCGGTTGTATTTTAAAAGTATATTTAATTTGGTAAAACGAAACTTTAGGTGTTAATTTACTTTTACTAATTTACTATTATTTTACACTACTTAGTAGTGTAAATACCTTGTAGGTATTTTTAATTTGTTTTACATTCTTTTGTTTTTCTATTTGAAGGCAAACTTATTAACTCTAACAATGTCATGTGCAGTCATGTGCTTTTTCGGTTTATTGGGCAAAAATATTTAAATAAAATTCATTGTTGATAATATTAACATTGTTTAATATTGTCATAACAAACGAAGTTGAAGTCGGTAACGTTGATCAACGAAAAAAATTGTTTAAAGTGTTCGAATATTATTTTTAATAAATACACAACAATTATTGTTAAAACAAATAAAAATCTTCCCTTTTTACATATTTTCGTGGCAAATTATTACGTTATTGAATAATACAGTTATTAAATAATTTTTTTCGTTAATTTACGTTGTGGACTTCAACTTGGCGTCAACAATGAATTTAGAATTTGTGAAATTATGAAATTATTGTTTCGCTAAATATTGTTTGCTACAATTTTGAATTAAAATGTACTTTTAGTATATTTTTTTGGTATATTATTAATTAGTAGCACTAATTTTTTTTGACAAAATTAATTATTACGCTTCTTTCAGGCGACATCGTCCTAGTGCTATAGTGAAAATGAAACATAATAATTTTTGCGGCTGCAGAAAATCGGTGAAAATTTCTTTATGGATTGCTGCTGTTTTAATTACTTTATGGCTAATAGCTCTTTCTTGGCTGGCCGTTATTTTATATGGAGAATTGGCAAAAATGGATATTTCCATAAAGTCCAGTAAGTGGGAAAATATTTTTAAATTATGAAAGAATTATCCTCGCTTAGATAAATACGTGCATGAGATTATTGTTATCTGAACGTGGAAAAATAATTTACTCTTAATTATAGTCTTTTAATTTTTCTGCTAATTATAATCGTCAATTAAATAATAATTTTCTTCTATACTTTTTTTATTTAATTTTTATTAAACTTCAACTTTTATTCAACTTAACAACTTTTATGATCCACAAGTTTTTAACGTTCAAATTAACGAAATATTTTGTGTCACTTTTTTTCAAATAAATAAATAAACAATTATTTTCATAAATTACTGATTGGAATGGAAAGTTATTAAAAACTAATTTTACATTTAGAAACTTAATTAATTTTTTTTGACAGTGACGCAAAATTATTGTAATAAAAAGTTAATTTGAAGAAGAAATAAATAAATTTCGTTCATTTGGACGTTTCGAACTTTAGGAACATTTTTTTTTTATTATTCAATTTAATTTGTATTTTATACTAATAAATTTTGAATATTTATTTTATTAGCGCTTAGATCGTAGGAAAAATTGGATTATAGTGAAAAGAATTTGTTTTTATTTTACTAAACAAGTCGATGTTTAAAATTAATTTTTCTTGGAATTTCCAGAATGGATTTTTTATGGACTTTTTAATTACTTGAAATTTAATGAATTTTTTTCGCAAATGATCCTGTTTTTAACTTTCAAAGCAAACGGAAATTATTTTTTTCTTTAAATTAAAATTTTTTTCCCAATAGTTTTGCGTCTCTGTAAAAAAATTAATTTTTGTTTCTAAATGTTTAATTTTTATTGCAATCACTAATTTATAAAAGTATTTTTAATAACAAAAAATTTATTAACAAATATTTTTAGTAAAAAATATTTTATTAAAAAATATTTTTAGTAAATAATATTTTATTAAAAAATATTTTGTGTTCGTTTGAAGATTTAAAACTTGTGGATCATTTTCGCAATGATTGTTCTAATTTTGTTTATTGTTAAATGTTTTCTTTGTTAAATTTTATTGTTGAATATTTTCTTTGTTGTTATTAAATTTTTCTGTTAAACTTTTTTTTTAAACATTTCTGTTAAATTTTTTTGTTAAATTTTATTGTCAAATATTTTCTTTGTTAAATTTTTCTGTTAAACTTTTTTGTTAAACATTTCTGTTAAATTTTTTTGTTAAATTTTATTGTCAAATATTTTCTTTGTTAAATTTTTCTGTTAAACTTTTTTGTTAAACATTTCTGTTAAATTTTTTTGTTAAATTTTATTGACAAATATTTTCTTTGTTAAATTGTTTTCATTAAACTTTTGTGTTAAATTTTTTTGGTAAATTAATTTTCAATAATTAAATGAAACCCTGTTTTTTGGGAAAAAGAAAAACTATCATATTTCCGAAGATGCCTCCATTATGCGAATGATATGTGAGAAATCAACCCTCGTTACGACCCCTCACTTGTCTCAATGTCGACGGCAATCGACCGGGTGCCTCTGGCATTACGCGGAAACACGAAGGCGACAGCACAGTCGCAGTTTTATTTCAGAATCGCATCTAGGCGGTGGTCTGCATTTCGTGCGTCGTTTTTATTTCACGAAATGCTACAAACAATTTTATTTTTGTTAATTTAAACTGAAAAAAAAATGTTTCCAGTTTCTAGTGATACAAAGTGTCATAGTTTTGATCATGTTCAAGGAAAAAGGAGACTTTACGGTTGTTGTTATTACTGGTTTTTGGAAAAATAATTTTGACCTTAATTTTCCCATCCATGGAAAATTTAGAATTTTCCTATGTCAAAAATTACGAGAGATACACTAATATTGATGTTTCTGTGAAATATGTTATTAATATTTGTATTTACAGTTTACTTATAATTTATGTTTACACAAATATCAATTTACATTTTATACCATTTTTTTGCAATCTAATTTACACTTTTCGTTAATTAATTATATTTGTCACATATTTTAGTTTTAGTATTTCAGTATATTTTTAAATAGTAATAAATTAAATAATAATTTATGTTTCTAATATTCTGAACGTTCAAATAAACGATATTTACTTAATTCTTCTTCGAATTAAATTTTTATTGCAATAATTTTGCGTCATTAATGCAAAAAATTTAATTTCAGTTTCTAAATGTTAAATTTTAGTTTTTAATTTTTATTTGAAACAAATTCATGAAAATATTTCGATTATTTGAACGTTGAAAATTTTTTGTTTCATATTTTTATTGAAAAGTTTGTTTTTCTTCTCTTCTGGAGAAAAAGTATGAAAAATATTTCTTGCTTCTATATTCTAGAGGGAAATCTTGAAAATTTTTTTTTTCCTTATCAATTTTATTTAAAAATTTTCTCTCTCGTTTCTATGTTGTTTTAAACCTGAATATGTAACGTTTATGACAAATTGTTATCACTGACATTTCATTTATATTTTCCTGTTAATGAAATAGTGAAATTCTAAGAGCTTTACATAAGAAAATTTTCCACGGCTATTTTTTTTTACGTGAATTATTTACGACGAACTAGTTAACAATTGTGTTTTTGTTAATTTACATTTACTGTTTCAAAAGAAAAAACAAAAAGCAAAAGACAAGGAAAAATTGAAAAAAAAATTTAAAAAGTTAAAAATGTATTAAAAGAATGAAAATTGTAATATTTTTGAGTTAAAAAAGTCTTGTCGAAGCGAATATTTTTTTTTCTTTTTGTATTGAGAGTTAATTTTCTTATTAAGTGATAATAAATTTTTTTTTCTTATGAAATTATCACTCGGGAAAAATGTAATTATGCCTCGAGACATTTTTGTGTATTCTTCTCGAGGCGTCGTTGTCCTTTATCTTTAATGGCTCTGAATATTTTTTTCTTAGCTTTCTGTCATCATTTTAAATTAACTTCTCGAGAGACAAAATTTACTTTTACTTAAGTTTGCGTAATAAAATAGAAGAAAATGAGGATTTTCATTTCTTTATTTTTCTTTCATAATTTGCAAATATTGCGATAATAAACTTCTTCATTTTTTATCATCAAATTTGACTATTATTGATACTGAAGTTTTAATTATTCAAATAAATAAATTTGAATAAGGAATAAAAAAAATATAAATTATTCAAATTAATAGATTTGATTAATAAATAAAAAACTAACATTTATTCAAGTCAATAAATTTGATTAATAAATAAAAAAGTAAAAATTATTCAAATGAATAAATTTGATTAATTTTCCTTTTTTTTTTGACACAATTATCGACAGGTATAGAAAAAATCATAATAATGTGGAAAAAATTATTTTCGATAATTGTGCGAATAATCTTTGCAGAAAAAAAATTTCCTTCTTAAAAATAGATTTTATTTATTTTTTGTAATTTATTTTTTTATTGTCTATGAGAGATTAAAAATAATTACGTGTAATAAAAATGTTTAAAAGTATCGTAAACATATTATTTTACAGAGAAAAATATCAAGACATAAATTTTTATATAGAAGACAAGGATAACCTTGTTTCTGATATATTGTCACTATTGTCACATATATACAATTAAAACATTATTGAATTTCTCGAATCTCTCTCTAACTTTTTTTTGTCTTTTTTCTTTGAGAATTAATTTTGATTGGTACAGTGAATATAATACATAGAAATGATTTGGTACTCGTCCTTGAAATTTTTTTTCCTTTTTTATTTTATTCTCGCAAACGAACTAGATGAATAGTTAATTAAATTCAAAAGTCGTTAAAAGGTACCTGAAGTATTTTGTGTGACTCGTTGGATTATCAATAATTTATGTGATTGGGACAAGGTCAACCGATTTACGTATATCTATATTGTTAAGAGAGATATTTAGTACAGTAGTGTCTGTAATCGAATTTTTCTATATCAAATTATTGGAAATATAATAAAATGTCTCTCGATTATTTTTGTTCTGTATATGACAAGTTTTTTATTGGTTGTAAAAATAAGTTTATTACTATTTATTAATAGAAGTAATTTTATTAATATTTAATAATAATAATTTTATTTCAATTATTTATTAACGTTTTTATATTATTTATTAATATTTATTAATTTATTATCAACATTATAATTTAAACATTCTTAATATTTCATTAATAGTGTTAATTTTATTAAGATTGATTAATAAAATAATAAAAATATTGTTGCTTGATAACAATAATTTTGTAAATATTTATTAATAGTAATTTTATTACTATTAGATAATGATAATTTTATTAATTTATTACTATTAATAAATTAATAGTAAAAAATTTATTACTGTTGATTAATAATAATATTTGTTAAAAATAGTTTTATTAGTATTTTTAATAAAAATATTTTTTTTATTTTCTAATAAAAAAGGACTAAAAAAGGCTTTTAATAATTATTGCAAAATAAGTAAAAAATCTGTTTTAACAAAAAGCAAACAAAAATCTAAAATAAAATAGCAAATCGTAAAAAAAAGTACATAGTCAATAGTAGCTTTTAGTAAATGAGTGCGAATATAAATTTTTTTAATATTAAATAAATAATAATAGAATAAATATTAATTTGTAAATTACATAAATAATTTGTTCACATTGTAATTTATTCACATTATAATTAAATAAATTGCTTGGTAATTATTTATGAAAAAAAATATATTAAAAAGATAAACATTTGAATGAATATCAATATTATAATATATTATAGTAGAGTTGGTATAAAACAAGTTTCATGAATAATGACATAACTTTAATGCTATGCAATAATAAAATTTTTTAAGTGCATGTCACATCCGATAAATACAGGTAGCACATCACTATACGAAAGAAAAATAAAATTCTAATATAAATGTTTGTCTGATGTGTAGAAAATGATAAAACTTTTACAACTTTAAATATAAACATTTCAAAAATAGATTAAATCATGAGTAGCTAAAGTAAGAAATTGCTATATGAATCTTGAAAGGTAAATTGTCATTTAAAAAGGTCACTGAAATATTTGTCGCAGAGAGAAACGATTTTCATATGTAATCTTTCATTTTTTTATTATTATAATTAGATAATATTTTGTTTCGACTCCTTGAAAGAATTATAATTTCATTTACATAGAGTTTTATATAAAATTTTTAATTTTGTCCATTTCTTTATTCTTATTTTATTTTTATAACAAATTTCTAAATTTTCTATTTTTATAAACATTTTTTAGATTATTTATTTTTATAACAATTTTTTAGATTTTTTATTTTATTTTTAAAACAATTTTTTTTTTAAATCCAGAAAAAAAATATTTGCTTTTCTTTAAAACTTCGGGATTCACTCATTTTTTAAATAATTATTAAAGGCCGTATTTAGTCCTTTTTTATTGTAAAATAAAAAATTGTTAGTAAAAATATTTTCTGCAATGTTATTAATATTGAAATTATTACTATTAATTTTTTTAATAACTAAATAAAATATTCAGCTTCGACTCTTTGAAATTATTACAATAACTTTATTTAAAAATTCAATTATTTACAAAAATAATAAAATTCTTTGCAGAAAATCAATTATTTTCGAAAGTAATAAACTCCTTCGCAGAAATTTAATTATGTTCAAAAATTAAAAAAAAATCTCCGACAAAATTTCAATTATTTTTGTAAATTATAAAATTCTTCTCCTAAATTCAATTATTTCTAAACATTTTAATAAAATTCTTGTCAAAATTTCAATTATTTTCAAAAATTTTTCACAAGAATTCAATTATGAGAAAATTCGACGTAAATATTTAATTATTTTCATAAATAATAAAAATTTCACAGGAATTCAATTATTTTCATAAATAATAAAATTCTTCGCAGAAATTCAATTATATGTTGAAAAATTTTTAAAAATTCTCGTCAAAATTTCAATTATTTTGGTAAATAATAAAATTCTAGTCAAAATTTTAATTATTTTCATAAACAAACATTCAATTATATTTAATAATTAATAAAAATTTCACGGGAATTCATTTATTTCCAAATTTTTTATAAATTTCTTCGCAATAATTTTAATTCTTCTGAAATGAGTTAAATTGTTCAATATATATTCAATTAATTATTAAAACTAATGGATTTATAGAAGAATTTTTAGTTAAAAAAGCACTAAAAAATTAAATTTTGGAAAAGTTACAAATGATGCAGAAATTTAATCATTTTCAAAAGTAATAAAAAATTCTTTACAAAAATTTAATTATGTTAAAACTTTTTTTTTAATTCTGGTCAAAATTTCAATTATTTTCATAAATAATAATATTCTTCTCATAAATTCAATTATTTTGCAAAAATTTTGCACAAGAATTCAATTATTTAAAAAAAATTTGATAAAATTCTAAACAAACATTTAATTATTTTTAAGAAGTAATAAAAATTTTACAGGAATTCAATTATTTTCAAATTTTTTATAAATTTCTTCGCAATAATTTTAATTCTTCTGAAATGGGTTAAATTTTTCAATTTAAATATTTAATTAATTTTTAAAAATAATGGATTTTTAGAAGGAATTTTTAGTTAAAATACAAAAAAAAAATTGAATTTTGGAAAAGTTTCATTTTTTTTAAATTCTGGACAAATTCAATTATCTTTAAAAATAATAAAATTCTTCTCCAAAATTCAATAGTTTTTAAAAATGTCAATAAAATTCTTGTCAACATTTCAATTATTTTCAAAAAATTTCCTCAATTCAATGATTTACAATATCTATGATTTTAATAAAATTTTCCAAAAGAATTTAATTATTTACAAACGCAAACATTTAATTACTTTTAATAAATAATCAAAATTTCCCAGGAATTCAATTATTTACAAATTTTTTATAAATTTCCTCGCAATAATTCCATTATTTTCATAAACAATCAAATTCTTGTTGGAAATTCAATATTATTTTCATAAAAAAGTAAAATTCTTTTTGGAAATTATATTATTTTCATAAATAATAAAATTCTTTTTACAAATTTAATTATGTTCATAAATAATAAAACTCGAATCACAGATTTTTAATTATTGTTAATATATTTTTAATCAAATTCTGCAAAAAATGTCATTGATCTTAAAAATTTCATTAAAATTCGTCGAAAGAATTGAATTATTTAAAAATTTGTTAATTAAATAATTCTTTATGAAAATTCAATTCTAAGAAATATGCAATTATTTATTTTTATATTTAAATAATTGAATTCTCGCAGAATGATAATAATAATGATTAATTATATTTATTTTCAATAAAACTATTGATGTTTTCGAATAATAAATAATATTTGTAAATAAATAAAATTAGACAAAAAAATTTAGAAGGTAAATGATCGTACAATTAATTAACAAACAGAATTATTTCACTCCAAAAGAATATACGAGTTTTATTTATTTTTTTTTGAGAATTGAAGTATATCCGGGTTTTTATCAATTCCCCCATTTTTTCTATGATAAATTTTCTCAACAGGAAAGGCGTCTTATCACTTCCCCAGTGAATGTGTTACTAGTACAACACAATTTTGTTTGGATTTTGTTTTTTTTTAACCAAAAAAAAAAATTATTTTATTATTTCATAGATTTCATATAATTGAAGAAAAATTTTCCTTCGTTTGCTAAAGTTAAAATATCAGTAAATATTCTCTTAATGTAACTTCAAGTGTATCTCTCGTGATTTAATTGAAAAAAAAAACAAATTATTTTTCCATCAGTTTCAAGAGAAAATGAATTAATAAACGTTTTAAAGGTGATTGTCAACAACGAAAGAAAGAATTATTTCTAAATTATGCCTTTAGTGGAAAAAAATGTGTTTCTGTGCTCGACAACAATTAATATTGAGAAGAATAAGAAAAAACTCTCGGAATTTGATAGTATTAATATCAATTTGAATACCCATGGAGTGACTCAAGAGTGGAGAAGAAAAAAAATGCTTCAATTAATAATAAAATCTGGGCCTTTAATCGCTGCCAACAAGTTGTATCCGCACATCGGTTGATAAAGCACTGATAACTCTGCGTGTATATTATGCTTTCCTAATAAAATGTAATCCATATAGTGTATAATGTGCGTGTATCTGCTATAACAATGGAATTCTAGTGACTTCAAAGAAAATACAACGAATGTGGAATTTACGGAATAGGAAAAAAGAAAATTACTATGAAAATACAATGATAAATTGAAAAAATTTAATCAAAAAAAATAAATAAATAAATAACGAAGGATAAAATAGTAAATACGAAGACTAGAAAAAAAAGTATTAAAAAAAAACGTGGCACAAAAATTAAAGAGGCAACACTTTAGACACATTATTTTTAAGATGGATTCAGTTGCTGTCACGGTGCCACTTCGTCCACCAGTAAAAAAAATGAAGAAACGAAAAGAACTCGACGCCCTCGCACCCCATCGTGTAGTTTCCAGAAGATGTAATGGAAAACGCAGATCTCAGGTATTATAAATATAAATCAAAAGAGGGCAGAATCCTTTTCAGCTTCTTTTTCCTTTTAGAATTTTTTTTTTCCATCATCCTTTTCAAAAGTAGAACAGAAATTATTTACATTTCAATAAATCCAGTATATTATTTGTTTCAAAACATTTTTAATATTTAGATATTATTTAAGTTTTATTCTCGTTTCCCGTCAATGAATTTTTCGACATTTTTTTTTACTTATTTTCTATTAACGATCAGGAGAAAATTAAACTTTATTGGAAAAAATACTTCTAATATATTTGTCCCATTTTTCGAAAATTGATTTTTCTTATAATTTAGATTTGTATCTTTTATTTGATAAACGGAAAAAATAAACATGATAACTGTTGTGACTAAAGATAGCTTGATAAGAGTGACGCATAAAATTTTCAATGTAAAAACAGAAAATTATTTTATATAACAAATTGGAGAAAGTTATTAATTAATAATTAATTAATTCTTAAATCGATTAAATTTAATTTTAAATTGAGTAATTTGTTTATTTATTCATAAATTAATTTATTTATTTTCAGGCCTCGGAAGTCAGTGCAGACTTCGCACTCGAAATTGCTTTAAAAAAAAAAAAAAAGCTTTCAAACTAAAAAAAAAATAGTAAAAAAGTAGCTATCGAAAAATTAAACTTGACGACCAAAAAAGTCGTTTTAGAAACTTTACAAAACTGACAAAAATTCCATTCTATATTTTATTTTCCTGACTGTGTTATAAATTTTCATAAAAACTATAATTACTTCTTTCTTATTCTGATAATAAATTGAATTCCTGCAACGAATTTTATTATTCATGAAAGAATTTAAATATTTATAAAAATAATTTAATTCTTGTTAAGAATTTTATAAAAAATTTTTAATAATTGATTTCTTTCGACTACTTTTATGCAAATTCTAATTTAAATAATTGAATTCCAGAGAAATTTTTATTATTCATGAAAAGAATTGAATTCTTACGAAGATTTTTACAAAAATTTTTTTAAATAATAATTGAATTCTGTTTGGAAATTTTATAAAAATAGTAGATATTGAAAATCATTGAAATGCGAAAAGTTTTTAAAAATAATTAAATTTTACAGAGAATTCTATTAAAATATTTGACAATAATTGAATGTCTGTGTGGTATTTTATTAAATTTTTTTTTAAAATAATTGAATTCCTAAAAAGCATTTTATTATTTATGAAAATAATTGATTTGTTGGGAAGAATTTTTTTAAAAAAAGTTTGAAACAATTGATTTTTTTGAAAAAATGTATGCAAATTCTATTTTGAGTAATTGAATTCCTCTCAAATTTTATTATTTTAGAAAATTATTAAATATTCGTGTGCAATATTATCAAAATTTTTGTTTAATAATATTCTTTTGGGATATTTTTTTAAAATAGTAGAATATTAAAAATCATTGAAATAAGAAAATTTTTTAAAAATTATTGAAATTTTCCCATGAATTTCATTAAAATTTTTGGAAATAATTGAATTTTATTACTTTTGAAAATAATTGAATTCTTGTAACGAATATTGAAAATTTATAAATTTATGAAAATAATTGAATTTTGCAATGAATTTTATTAAAATTCCTGAAAATAATAAATTGATTTTTGTCGAAGAATTTTATTAATTTCGAAAATAATTGAATTCTTGTAATGAATATTATTTTTTAAATGAAAATAATTGAATTTTGCAATGAATTTTATCAAAATTTATTCAAATAATTGAATTTCAGGGAAAACTTTATTATTTGTGAAAATAATTTAATTTTGCAATGAATTTTATTAAAATACCTGAAAATAATTGTATTTTGTCGAAGAATTTTATTTATTTTGAAAATAATTTAATTCTTGTGATGAATATTATTGTATATGAAAATAATTGAATTTTGCAATGAATTTTATTAAAATTCCTGAAAATAATTGAATTTTCTTGAAGAATTTTGCCATTCATTTATAAAGATAATTGAAATGTTGACAAGTTTTTTTTTTAGATTTTTTGTAAATAATTGAATTTCTGCGAAGAATTTTATTAATTTTGAAAATAATTGAATTTTTGGGGAATAATTTTGTTAATTTTCAATATAAATGAATTCTTTCGAAGAATTATTTATGTAAATAATTGAATTTTCGGAAAGAATTTTATTAAAATCTAAAAGAATAATTGAATTATTACAAAAAAAAGTTTAATTAAAATTGTTTTTAAAATGATTGATTTTTGTCGAACAATTTTATTAAAATATTTGAAAAAAATTTAATTTCTGTGAAAAATTTTGTTGTATTTGAAAATAATTTAATTATTGCGATAAATTGTATTAAAATGTTTTCAAAAAAATGAATTTCTGTGAAAAATTTTGTTATTTTTAAAAATAATTGAATTCTTCATAAGAATTTTATAAACATTGTTTTAAATAATTAATTTTTTCGAATTATAATTGTATCAAACATTTTTTTTTTAAATTGAATTTTCATTATTGTGAAGAATTGTATAAAAACTTTGTAAAATAATTTATTTTTTCGATATTTTTTTGTATATGCTTTTTTGAATGAATTAAATTCTTGTGGAAATTTTATAATTTACTAAAATAATTGTCAGTAAAACTTCTTAGACTTTTTTTATAACTGTAATCGACAAAAGTGTCTTTTTTTGCCCCTCAAAATCAATCCGAGGCCTAAAAAATGAATTAATTTAATTTTGATCATCCAATTAATTCATAGACAATTTAATTTAATTTTAATTAATTAAATTAATTTTTATTCAATTACATTAATTCTAAATTGAAATGAACTTGCTTTCTATTTTTATTATTTCAATCATCCTAATGTAAAAAATGATAATTTACTTTATACAATTTACTTGAGAGAGAGAGAGAGAGAGAGAGAGAGAGAGAGAGAGAGAGAGAGAGAGAGAGAGAGAGAGAGAGAGAGAGAGAGAGAGAGAGAGAGAGAGAGAGAGAGAGAGAGAGAGAGAGAGAGAGAGAGAGAGAGAGAGAGAGAGAGAGAGAGAGAGAGAGAGAGAGAGAGAGAGAGAGAGAGAGAGAGAGAGAGAGAGAGAGAGAGAGAGAGAGAGAGAGAGAGAGAGAGAGAGAGAGAGAGAGAGAGAGAGAGAGAGAGAGAGAGAGAGAGAGAGAGAGAGAGAGAGAGAGAGAGAGAGAGAGAGAGAGAGAGAGAGAGAGAGAGAGAGAGAGAGAGGAGAGAGAGAGAGAGAGAGAGAGAGAGAGAGAGAGAGAGAGAGAGAGAGAGAGAGAGAGAGAGAGAGAGAGAGAGAGAGAGAGAGGAAAAAAGGGATAAAGGAATTTAATTTATTTATTTGTTTGTTTGGATAAAAATAATGGAGATCGAGGATCAAAAATTGATGGGAAATGTGATTAATGCGAATAGTCTCGTCTCCCTCATCCTAACCCGTCATTATTTCCCTTTGCGTATAGGAATTGCTGTCAGACAGCAGTGACGAATGCTCTGAATTGTGGAATGTCTCGACACGTGGTCCCCGTAAATCGAGAAACAGAAGTCAATCATGTCCTGGACTCATAAGAGCTTGTAGCGCTTTTTTGGCTTGTGCCGCAGTCCTTGCCACGGCTAGTTTAATCTGGCTTTTTATTGATGTCCGCCAGCAACTCACAACCCTTCGAAGCGAATTAGATCAAGGTACAGAAACAACAACAACAACCTTGCGGATATCAAGTCAACATTTTTTCAATTTTCTATAATCAATTTTGTACTTTTTATTTTTTTTATTGAAAAACAATGTATTGATATATTAATGACTATATTGATGATGTTAATGACATGGGATCATTTGGGGCAAATGTAAACAGTCGATGTTTGAGATTTATTTAAAAATTCAAAATTCAGGAAGACGACAATATTTAAACCTTAGCTCACCTGTAAAAGAGCTTCTGAGTAGGGCAAATATTTTATTTTGACAATTGACCTTTTTGAAATTCAACAACTTGTAAGAATATTTATTATAAAACAGGAAGAAATCGATCACTTCGAGTCGAAGACTCGGAGAGATTGATTTCTTCATGTTTTATAATAATTAAAGATGACCGAGTGATAAAATCATTTTTTTATATTATAAGAATATTGTTACTGTCACTTCTTCAAAATTATTTTCATCATTTCAATTTAATTATTATTTTCTGGAATTTTTAACTAAAATTCCGCTTTAAATCAATTACTTTTAATAATTTTTAAAAAAAATTCCTTCAGAATTTTTAAAAAAATTAATTCTAGAAAATTGTTATAGTTAAAAGTATTTATGAAAAATTCAGATTTTCAAAGATTTTAATTTGAAACCTTATTTTCAAAATTAAATTTTCTAAAAATTCAACTCATAATGCTTCTAACATTCAATTATTACCTATCTAAAATTTTAACTGAAATTTGTTTTTAAATAGAATTTTTTTTCGAAAAAAAACTTCTACAAGAATTCAATTAAATACAAAAAATAAATAATTTATTGAATTATTGAATGTTTCTTAAAAAATTGAATTCTTTCAACGAATTTTAATAAAATTTTTAAGAGTAATTACATTTTCCGAGAAACAAGATTAAAATTGTATATAAAAAATAATTGAAATTCTGCGATAAGTTTTATTATATTTATGAAAATAATTGAATTTCTAAAAAGGATTTTTAATACTTTTAGAAATAATTAAGTTTCTGTAATAATTTTATTATTTATGAAAATAAAGGAATTATTGTTAAAAAATTTATAAATAATTGAATTCTTGGGAAATTTTCATTATTTATCAAATTAATTAAATATTTGTGTTTGTAAATTATTGAATTCGTTTGGAAAACTTTATTAAAATAGACATTAAAAATCATTGAATTGAGGAAAATTTTTGAAAATAATTAAAATTTTGCCAAGAATTTTATTCAAATTTTTAAAAATAATTGAATTTTTGAGAAGAATTTTATAATTTATAAAGATAATTGAAATTTTGATCAGATTTTTTTTTAAATTTTTGAACATAATTGAATTTCTGCAATCATTTGTAAATTCTCAAAAATTCAATTTTTTTTAGTGTTTTTAACTAAAACTTTTCTAGAAATCCAGTATATTTAATAATTAATTAAATATATTAAAAAATTTAACTAATTTTAGAAGAATTTGAATTATTCATTAAACAGTTTATAATTTCTGTGAAATTTTTATTATTTATAAAATAATTCAATGTTTGCGTAAAATTTTATCAAAGTTTTTTTTTAATAATTGAATTCTTTTCAAAAATTTTTGAAAATAATTAAAATTTTGCTAAGAATTTTTTGAATTATTAAAATTTTAACGAGAATTTAAAAAAAAGTTGAACATAATTGAATTTCTGCGAACAATTTTATTACTTTTGAAAATAATTAAATGTTTGCGTAGAATTTTATCAAAAATTTTTTGGAAAGTTTTACTAAAAGTTTTAAAAGTATAATTGAAATTATTCCAAGAATGTTATTCAATTTTTTGAAAATAATTGAATTCTTTCGTTGAATTTTAATAACATTTTTAAGAATAATCACATTTTTTGAAGGAATTCGATTAAAATTGTACTGAAAATAATTGAAATTCTGTGATGAGTATTATTATTTATGAAAATAATTAAATTCCTAAAAAGAATTTTATTATTTATGAAAATAATTTAAATATTACGAAGAAATTTCTAAAAAAAATCTGGAAATAAGTGAATTCCTGTAAAATTTTGACATGTATTTTATTAAAATTTTTGAAAATAATTGAATTTTGGAGAAAAATTTTATTATTTATAGAGATAATTGAAATTTTTAGAATTTTTTTTTAATTTTTGAAAAATAATTGAATTTTTTGAAACAATTTTATTAGTCTTGAAAATAATTGAATTCTTGTGATGGATATTGTTATTTATGAAAATAATTTAATTTTGCAAAAAATTTTGTTAAAATTCCTGAAAATAGTTGAATTTCTGGGGAGAATTTTTATATTTATCAAGATACTTGAATCAAAAATCTAAGTTCTTTAAAAATTTCGAATTAAAATATTAAATTCATTCGAAGTTGAAATTTTCTAAAATTTCAAATTAAAATATTAAATTCATTCGAAGTTGAATAGATATTTTGTTTACATATATCCCAAATGACCCTATTCAATTTATTATAATATTATCAACTTTCCTGGAATATTTGTAAGCAAAAATAAAGAAATTGTATCATTAAAATTATTCTCTTTTTTGTAGAAAAAGAAAATTAATTTTTTTTCTCAATTTTCGCAATTTTTTTTCTCGTTTTTAAGAGAGGGAAAATTTTTCATCTACTGTTAATTTCTTGTTTTTTATTAAATATTTTGCACTTTCTCTTTTCTAGTGATAGCAGGAAGTGAAGGCCTTCCGGACGCTATTCAAAAATGTGATTCTACTTCCAAACAGTTACAAAAAAACCAAAGTATCATATTTACTCAACTTTCGAATATTAAAACGCAGCTCAATAATTTAACCGATCAGGTAATTGATTAATTTATTATTAGATTTTTTTAATTAAACACGGGACACCCTCTGAACAAAAAAAGGAATTTAAGTAGCTATAAAGATTGTATATTTTATGATTGTGATAGGTTTACCATACTGAAAGCAAAAAAAGTGAATTGAAAAATCAAAATTAGAAAAAAACTCTGGTAAATTTTCGCAAAAAAAAAATTTCGAAATTATATCATTTTCGAAAATTCTGCGTTAGTATTAAGTGGATTTTTTCTTCCATAAATTGTTTTATTAAAATTTTATTTAAATTTTCCAAAATAATTGAATAGTTTTTGCAGAATTTAATTAAAAAGTTTTGAACATAATTAAATTTTTTCAATGAATTGAATGAATTGAATTACAATTCTGCTGGAAATAATCTAAAGAATTTTATCAACATTTTTGAAAATAATTGAATCCCTCAGAAGAATTTTAGCTAAATTTTTGAAAATATTTTTAATTTTTGCATCTGAATCATTTTAAATCTGAAATCATTCGAAAATTAAAGTTGATATTTGAAAATAAAGAAATTTTGTAATTTGCATAATTAAATTATACGTTAATTTATAAATGAAGTTTTTTTTACAATTTCGTAACTTTGCATTTTTATTTTTCCAGATAACTGCCATGCAACGAGGTTTACAAACAGTGCAAGAGTCCTTAAAAGCAGAGCCTCAATTAGCGAGCATACCGAAAGATTTTATGTCTCTGCAAACTAGTGTGGCCAAAGTTGGTAGTGAGATTAGCGATTTAAAACCCACTGTCGATGTCTTAAAAGATGCAAACAAAAATTTGTTAAACACACAAAATATTACGCAACAGAAATTAAGCAGCCTTCAGGTAATATATTTCAGTCAATTTTTTTTTCCTTTCCTTTCGTTTCGTTTTTTTCATTATTTTCTTTTTCTTTTTTTTATATATTTTATATTTATTATATTTATTCTATTTTATTTTTATTAAATTCTGAATTAAATTTTATTTTATTTAAATAAAGAGTTAAGAAATACTGTATAATTTTTATTTGCGGAAAATGTTGCAGACTTCCTTGCAGGAGTTAATGAATGCAACGCAAAAGCCTCAGTTGCAGTCAACGAATGAAACGAACATTAAAATTGACGATTTGAAATCAACCATTTCTCAATTAGCTAGAAATTTAACAATCATTAATCAAAATATAACCGCTCGACTCGATTGGGCACGTGATGAACAAGCAAAGGACCATGTAATACCAACAAATTTTTACACAAAAAAAAAAAAACAATGCGGCAGAAGTCCTCAACGTTTTTTAAAAACGAAAAAACAAAATAATTTATTTCAAGTTAAATTCACCTTTAATTTTTATGTGCGTTTTACGAAATTAATTGTAACTTAAAAGAGTTTCTATAGTTTTAACTTAAGAACAAAAATATGAATATTTTTTAAGCAAAAAAAAAAAAAATGCTTAAAATCAACAAATTTGGCGCAAAAATAAATCAATTTTTCGTTTTTTGTTTGAAAAACGTCGTGGACTTCGGCCTCATGAGAAGCAAATGTGAAAAAAAGTGGAAAATAATTCAATTTTAACATTTTCTTTTCTTTCAGAGTAATTTAGACAAATTGCAAGACAAGGCAGAGCATTTACGAGCAGAAGTTGAGACATTACGTGGTGATTCTGTAACTATTCACGAACAGGTAAGGAAAAGAAAACAAATAATTTTAAACTTTGAACAATTGAAATTGAAATGAAAAATTGCAAAAAAATTCGAAATAATGAAAATATAAAGAAAATTCTTTAATTAAATTTCAAAAAAGACTTAAATCGATATTTCCTGTTCCAAAAGTTTTGAACGATGATATTTTAATTTTTATTTTATTAGAAAATTATTTTGGATTTTATTAATTCTCAACTAAATAAAAATATTTTATTTACATTATTTTACATTCTATTCAAAATATTTTTTTTCATTTTCTAGTTTCGAAAAGTTTTTAAAGAATTTTTATTATTTCTTACTAAATATGTTGGTGAAGTTAGCAAACTTTATAAATAATCAACGATTTAGAGGAAAAATTATTTTGCTATTTAAATTTATATAAATAGATATCTGTGTAAAAAATTAGTCTGCACAGATTTTTGATTGATAAAATTTAAAAAAGAAATATTTTTTATCGAATATTCATAAATATTTCTTTTGTAAATTTTATCAATCAAAAATATTTTGATTGAGTAAATTTTATTGTTTTTGCAAAAAAAGATTTTTTTCATTGTTTTTTTTTATTTAAATTTATATATAAATTTCTGTTTAAAAAAATATTCTGCATAGATTTTTGATCAATAAAATTGACAATAAAATCTCTCTTGTAAATTTTATTCTTCACAAATATTTTTTTCTTTGTAAATTTTATTGTTTTTTTTTATTTCTGAGTATAAAAAAATTATTCTGCATAGATTTTTGATAAATAAAATTGACAAAAGAAATATTTTTGAACGAATATTTCTTATATGACAAATAGTTCTTATGTAAATTTTATTGTTCACAAATATTTTTTTCTTTGTAAATTTTATTGTTTTTGCCAGAAAAATTGTTTTAATTATTTTTCTATTTAAATTTATATAAATTGCTGTGTAAAAAATATTCTACACAGATTTTTGTCTAAATTTTATTCATTTTGTCAGAAAAAGTATTTCTTTTTCTTCCAATCGTTGATCATAAACGACGTTATTAAAAATTCTTTTTGTTAATTACAGCAAAATAGTTTTATAATTTGTTTTTCTTTTTTAGATAAACGCACTTCAATCAAGGGACTCTGTGTACAATAAAACGTTAGTTGAACTAAAGGAAACTTGTAATGCTTTACAAAAGTCGCAAACTTCAGTAATGACGCAAGCAACTTCCACAATCAACAATTCTGCTAAAGAAACTTTAACGAAGCCAAGTGAGATGAAAGAAATTGCCATGGCGACGGATCAGAAAAATTTAGGTTTGATGAACTTTTTTTTAAATATTAAATAATATTTAAATAATAGTATTTATTTTTTTTATCAAGAAATTGTCTTCACATAAAAAATTGCTACTACAGTCTAATTTTGTTAATGATCAATTTTATTTTTCGTTTTTTTCGCAGATGAGAAGCTGATAATGAAGGAAAATATGTAAGCGGATAATATTTATATGCGCGCAAAAAAAGTATTAGAGTTTGTAAATATTAGTGTACTTAATTAATGGATTAGAAGAAATGCGTTACCTATAGGAGCCATAAATAGTTTGGAAATTTTTACTTTCATTGCTATATGAAGGAAATAATCATTCTTGATTTTCACTGCAGTCAAGTGTGAGAGATAATTTTGTAAAATTTCGTTTTATTTGTAAGAATTCTGTTTTTTGAGACTGAAAAGTCCGGGACGATTTTTGGTAACAAAAAAGAAAAAATTAATATTTTATTTTGTCAATTGTTATTCTCGAGACATTAATTTCTTACAAAAATTAGAAAATGTCAAAATTAGAAATTTAAGTAGAAAAAAAAATTCTTTTTCGTTTCTAAAAACGTTCCGGACTTTTCAGTTTTTTATGGATAGATTTTCAGTATTTCCAAACAAAATTTCTATTAATTCTCGAAAATTCTTTTCAATTTCATTTTTATTCTATTCTTTCTTTTTTAAATTTTTCTTTCTTTTGTCTTTTCCTTTCCTTTTTTTATTTTTAATTTAATTTATTTAGTAATTATAGCACCTCGCAAAAACTGTCAATGAAGCACGTCAATAAATTATAAAAAGACGTATTGTAGAAAATTTATATTTTAATTTTTTTTCACTAGAGACTATTTAAAAATATTTTCAATTAATTTTCTGTATTATAAATATTTCAAAAATTTAAATAATTAAGAAATGAAAAATAAATTGAATTTATTTAAATATTTCTAAATATATTTAAAAAAACGTAACAAGAAAAATTCTTTCAAATAATTTCTGATTTGTTTTATAAGTGTTTCTAAAAAAATTTATTTAAAAAATGTCTAATATTTTTCTAGAGTATTTAACGATTATCTTAAATAATCCAATAATCGAAAAGAGCTAAAAAGAAAAATTAATTATTCTAATGTAAGTTGTTGAATGGAAGAAATTTTCATTATTTTTTGAAAGCAAAATGTTATTACCGATAATATAAAAATTAAAAATTTTGAAATGTACTAAAAAAAAACAAATTTTCAATAATAATTTATAAAAAACTGAAAAAAATAAATTTGAAATAACTTAATTTTTATATATAAATAATCAAGAAAGAGTCCAAGTTTTTCGAGATATTCTGCTTAAATAATTAGAATTAAATATATATTAATAATTTTAATATTAGTGAGTTCTCTTTTTGAACTCATTTAATCTGTGATGATTGTCTTGTTATATACAACTTACAATTTTCAAAACCTTTTTGATAATTAGATACAATCATTGCACAATATCATTATAAATAATTTAATATTGAATTTACCAAAATATTAAAATTACACACTATATTAATAATAATATTATTTCTTTCTTTTTTTTTAATTTATCTAGATTGAACATTTTATTTATTCATTTTTCCATAATATTATAGAATTAAATGCTCAATGCGATGGTTGAGGCTGTATGAAAATTGTCAAAGATTTATGTAAAAAAGCAAAAAGCGAAAAAAAAAAATGAAAAGCAAGTCAAATGCAGTAATTAAGTCATAATATATTCAAGTGTAAGGAGAACTTGTGTCATGTGAATTGTAGAATGAATGATAAACGCATGTACGATTTGTTAAATAAAAAGAGACTTTTAAAAACAAAAAATTCGAGATGTAGTAAATAAAACTTACGAAATCACTTTAAGGTTATTTTTGTACTATTTTTACTTTAATTAAGAGTTTTCGTTTAATTTTTTAATACTAAAAATCAAAATTATTATTTTTTAAAAAAATTTCTAAGAAAAAATTCAATTATATTCAAGATAATTTTAATAAAATTTCACTAAAAGGTTTAATTATTTTTAAAAATATTAATAACATTTTTATAAACAATTCAATTGTTCTTAAAAGTTTTTAATACATTTCTTTGTAAATTTCGATTTTTTTCAAAATTTTCAATTAAAATTATTTTACACAATTTTAATAAAAATCTTGCCAAGAATTAAATTATTTTTCATACAATTTTAATTATATTTTCTCGAAAGAATTCAATTATCGAAAAAAATGTTCATAAAATTCTTAAAATTAATTCAATTATTTTCAGTATACATCGACAATTTAATTATTTCTGAAAATAATTGAATTCTTGAATAGAATTTTATTAAAACTTTTTTTTAAATAATTGAATCTCTGCAAAGAAATTTATTATTTCTACAAACAATTAAATTTTTGCAAAATTTTTAAAAAAATATTTAATTTTAGAGAAGAATTTTATAAAAATTGTATACAATTTTTATAAAAAAATTTTTATTTTAAATATATTTAAAATAATTGAATTTATGCGAGAGAAAAATTTACTATAATTATATTGATATTATTGAATTCTTTTGAAGAATTTAAAAATAATTTAATCTTCCCTAGAATTCAATTAAAATTGTAATTAAAATAATTGAATTTCAGTGAAAATTAATTTATTTTTAAAAATAATTGAATTCTTGAATTGGAGTTTATTAAAGGTTTTTTTTAAATAATTGAACTCCTGTGAAAAATTCAATTGTTTTTGAAAATAATTGAATTTTCTCGGAGTGTTTTTAAAAGATGTTTAAAATAATTGAATTCAATTAAAATTGTATTAAAAATAAATGAATTCCAACGAAAATTTAATTATTTTTAAAAATAATTGAATTTTCTCGGAGATTTTTTAAAGATTTTTAAAAATAATTGAATTTTTGCGGAGAGTTTTTAAAAAATGTTTAAAATAATTGAATTAAATTCAAATTGTAATTAAAATAATTGAATTTCAGGGAAAACTTCATTATTTTTAAAAATAATTGAATTTCATCAGCGAATATTTCATTATTTTCAAAAATAATTGAATTCTTAAATGGGAGTTTATTAAAATTTTTTTAAATAATTGAACTCCTGTGAAAAATTCAATTATTTAAAAAAAAAATTGAATTTTCTCGGAGAATTTTTAAAAGATTTTTAAAAATAATTGAAATTTTCGAAGAAATTAATTAAAATTGTATTGAAAATAAATGAAATCCTGATATGAATTTTATTATTTATATAAAAATAATTAAATTTTTTTACGAAGATTTATATTATTTATAAATTGACTATAAAGAATTTTATTTCAATTATTTAAAATAATTGAATTCTTCATGAAATTCCATTATTTTCAAATTTTTTGATAAATACTTTGCAATTCAATGATTTGCAGTACATTTTAAAATTTTAAACATTTAAAAAGGAAAATTATTTAAAACGTCAGGAAACAAAAGAACAAACAGCAACTAATTTCAAACTGCGAACAGATTACCGGAACACAACGATTATTATTAGGTAATTAAGGCGGTTCCAGAATAGGTGCAAAAGGCAAGGTGGAAGTACAAGTGCAAGTGCGAACCAATGCTAAATGTATAGGAATCGCACTTGCACTTGTACTTCCACCTTGCCTTTTGCACCTATTCTGGAACCGCCTTTAGATAATTATTTTAATAATTATGTTTGAAAATTTTTTTTGAAGTCGAACATTTTCCCTCCTCATTGTCCAGTTTCCGCATATAAAATTGGACAAGTTTTAGCGACGCCTGGCGGCAAACAGACCGAAACGTTTAAAAATCGAGAATCCATCTACAATAATTTTTGTACTTAATGCTCTATTAGTGTATTTTAGTATTTTTTACTAAAATACCCAAAATATCTTTGATCAAGAAGGTATTTTTAAATAAAACATATTTTTTCAGTCTATATATTTAGTCCTGAATTCTTTATCGAAATATTTTTATTGAGCTCTGCGTGTGGAATTGTCAGAAAACATGTTGTAAAAACTACAAAAGTTCTGGTTTTCTCAAATTTTCTAACTATTTTTATAGAAAAATGGCAACTGCTCTGTCAGGTAAGTTAAAACATAAATTAAAAAATAGACACCCACGTCCTTTTTTGGTTTTCGAAAGTAAATTTCTTTTCACTTAACACTAAAACCTATTTTCATCGTGTGTTGTTAAAAAATGCTTTTTCGAATTTTTTTCTAGTCTTTCTTTTTGATAATTTTTCTTTAATTTGAATTATTTGTCTGAAAGTATAGAGAAAAGGTTAACAAAAAGGGACCCAACAAAAAAGGAAGAAACTTGAAGTAAATAAAGACTTTTCACTGAGCATAAAAATACCTAACTTTGGATATTTTATTCAAAAGAAATTTAGTATTTTGATAATAGTTAAACCTATTTTTTTTCCTAGCTTACTGGGTGCGATTCTTCAAGAACGCCGGCTTCCCACAGGATGTGGCTACAAAACACGCGGTCGTATTTTCAAATAATCGAATAAAACCCGACATGCTTCCCGATTTAGATAAGCCGAGTTTAAAAGAAATGGGCATTACGCTAATGGGCGATATGATAGCAATTCTTCGCTACGCAAAACGAGTCGTCGAAGAGACAACATGTGAGAAATTTTTAGTCGACACTGAAGATTCACCGCCACCACCACCACCGCCAACATCGAGAACTGTCGTTAAACCAGTGGTAAAGAAAGTTGTCGCTAAAGTTGTTCCCAAAAGCACAGTTCTTAGTAAAGTGAAACCCGTAGCTCCAACCAAATCCCAACTGTCCACAACTCCAAGCACAATTGTCAAGAAAAGTATGCTCTCAAAAGTAACAAAACCAATTGTCGAGGAAAAGAAGCCAGTGAAGAGAAAAATCGAAAAGAAAATCGAAATACTCGACAGTGATTCGGATCAGTCGGATAATGATAACGATTGGAAAGTGGAATCACAAAAGAGATTGAAAGCAGTGAAGGACGATGTCGAGTATCAGGTTATAATGCCCAAAGGCACAACAGTGAGAAGTCAGCAAATTCTAAAGAAGGCGATCGATCAAAAATTAACTGTATTCGATAGATTGGGCGATAGTTCTGTGACAAGTACCACTAATTTAGCGGAATCAACGACAACTTTTAATATCACTGGACTCGGTAAGGATGTGATTAAACGAAATTCTAGTGTTTTTAATCGACTCGGTGGTAAGGATCTGTTGAAAAAGAATGAGACTGTCACTGCAAGTACAATGAAAAATGGATCCAGTGTGAAACCTACTGCAGGCATATTGAAAGCTCGAGTGCCTACTAAAACGACTATTGTTTCTTTAAATAAACAGTCGAAAACTATTAAGAAGCCCGGAGGAACAATGAGAGCTGATCGTGAAACTCATATCAAAGCGGCGTCAAATAGCGTAAAGCAACTTATTAAAAATACCAAGAGTATTACAGTTAATGAGAGGAGTCCAGTAACTATTAAGAAAATGCCAGTCAACAGTAAATTAGGTGAGATGATATACTCATTATTATAATTATCAACTCCTTACAAAATTTTTATTCTTAAATCGTTGATTATAAACTTTTTAATTATAAAAGTTGTGAGTAAAATCTCTCAACCTTTATAATCAACGATTTAAAAAAAAATAATTTTGTTTTTGTCCTAAATTTTCGTTTTTTGATTTACAATAACAAGAATCCGAAAATTGGAACATTTGAAATTTACGAAAATATCATCAATTTTGAATAAATTTATTTAAAAATATAATGAACTCAGATTTTTGAAACATTTTAATAATTCAAATTCTTATGAAATTAGTTAAATTTTTCAATATACATTTAATTAATTATTTAAAATAATGGATTTATAGAAGAATTTTAGTTAAAAACACTACAAAAAATTGCATTCTGGAGAAGTTAGAAATTAATTGGAGAAATTCAATTATTTTTAAAAATTGTAATAAAACTCTTCGCAAAATTTCAATTATTTTCAAAAATTTTCCTCAATTCACATGATTTTCAATATTTACTATTTAAACAAAATTTTCCAAATTAATTTAATTGTTTGTGTACTTAAAAAAAATGTTGATAAAATTCTACTCAAATATTTAATTATTTCCATAAATAATAAAAATTTCATAGGAATTCAATTATTTATACATTTTTTAAAAACTTCTTCGCAATAATTCAATTACATATTTACAAATTTTTTTTTATAGATTTCTTCGCAATAATTCAATTATTTTCATAAACAGTAAAAATGTTTACTGAAATTCAATTATTTTCATAAATTTTAAAAATCTCTTGTCAAAATTTCAATTAACTTTGTAAATAATACAACTCTTCTCTGAAAATTCAATTATTTTCAAAATTTTTCGAAAGAATTCAATTATTTCAAAAAAAAAAAAAATGGTAGTGAAACTCGAAACAAGCATTTAATTATTTTCATAAAAAATGAAAATTTCAAGCAGAAATTCAATTATTTACAATTTTTTTTATAAATTTCTTTGAAATAATACAATTATTTTAGTAAATAATAAAATTTATTACAGGAATTCAATTATTTCCAAATTTTAAAAACGTTCTTGACAAAATTTGTCAATTTGTCAATTTGTCAAAGGAATTCAATTATTTCAAAAAAAATTTTTAGTAAAATTCTTTTCAAACATTTAATTACTTTAAAAAACAATAAAACTTTTTAAAAAATTCAATTTTAATTTATAAATTTCTTCGCAATAATTCAATTATTTTCATAAATAATATTTTTTACGAGAATTCAATTTTTTTTATAAATTCTTCGCAATAATTCAATTATTTTCATAAATAATATTTTTTACAAGAATTCAATTATTTTCAAAAATTTTAAAAAGTTCTTGACAAAATTTCAATTATAATAATTTTCTTCTCCGAAATTCGATTATTTTCAAAAATTTTAATAAAATTTGTCAAAGGAATTCAATTATTTCAAAAAAAATTTTAGTAAAATTCTTTTCAAACATTTAATTACTTTAAAAAATTTAATTTTTTTTGTAAATTTCTTCGTAATAATTCAATTATTTTCATAAATAATATTTTTTACAAGAATTAAATTATTTCAAAAAAATTTAATTTTTTTTATGAATTTCTTCACAATAATTCAATTATTCTCATAAATAATAAAATTTCATGGCAAAATTTCAATTATTTTTTATACAATTTTAATTTAATTCCACAAAAAATTCAATAAATTAATTATTTTTGTATTTAAATAATTGAATTCTGGTAGAATTTTTTTTTAAAAAATCGATTTAAAAATGGATTTTAGATTGAAAGTTGTGTTTACAATTTTCATAAATAGATGAACTTCAAAAGGTTTTCATTTAAAATTTCATAAAATTATTTCAAAAAAATTTTTTAGTAAAATTCTATTCAAACATTTAATTACTTTAAAAAATAATAAAAATTTCACAGAAATTCAATTCTTTTATAAATTTCTTCGCAATAATTCAATTATTTTCATAAATAATAAAATTTCAATCATGTTTTATATAATTTTAATTTAATTCCACAAAAAATTCAATAAATTAATTACTTTTGTATTTAAATAATTTAATTCTGGTAGAATTTTTTTGTTTAAATTGATTTAAAAATGGATTTTAGTTAAAAAGTTGTGTTTACAATATTCATAAATAGATGAACTTCAAAAAGTTTTCATTTAAAATTTTATAAAATTTCAATTTTTAATTAATTTAATTAGAAATTTAAAGAAGTTAGATTTTTGAAAAATTTTAATAGTTCAAATTCTTCTGAAATTAGTTAAATTTTTTAATAAGTATATATTTCATTAATTATTAAAAATAAAAGTTAAATAGAAGAATTTTCGTTAAAAACACTAAAAAAATAAAATTTTGGAGAAGTTACAAATTAATTGCAGAAATTCAATTATTTTTAAAAGTAATAAAATTCTTCAAAAAAGTTCAATTATTATGTTCAAAAATTTTTAAAAATTCTTTTCAAAATTTCAATTATCTTTATAAATAATAAAATTCTTATTCAAATCTGAATTATTTTCAAAAATTTGAATTTTTCATTTAATTAATTATTAAAAATAATGGATTTATAGAAGAATTTCAGTTAAAAACATTTTAAAAAATTGAATTTTGGAGAAGTTACAAATAATTGGAAAAATTCCAATTATTTTCAAAATTTTTTTTCAATTCTGTAAAATTTTATTAAAATTTGTTGATAAAATTCTTTATTGGAATTCAATTTTGAGAAACATTCAATTATTCAATAATTACTTATTGTTTTTAAATAATTGAATTCTCGTAAAATTATCTAATAAAACTTGTTTTAAAAATTAATTTTAGTTAAAATTTTGGATTAATAATTATTGAATATTAAAAGTATTATAGCATGAATTTTTAGAAATAATTGAATTTTTGAATAGATTTCAAATTAATTAAATAAATATTGTTATAATATAAATTAATAATGATTTTAACACTCGGATATTCATTAATTTTATTATATAAAACATGGAGAAATTGATTACTCCGAGTCGAAGACTCGGAGTGATCGATGTCTTCATGTTTTATAATAAATAATATTTTTGAGTTGTTGAATTTCAAAAATGTTTGAATTAAAAATTTTTGAAAATCTTAATTCCTGTGAAAAAATAATAATGATTAAATTATTTTATCTATTTATTTAAAACCAACCCAATTTTTACTTTCTTTTTAATTATATTTTTTTCTTTCGAATTTTTTAGTTCAAATAAAAAAATTTTCAGCTTCCGAGAGAGTGACGTCAGTGCCAGCAAAAGCGCGACTTGGTATTTCGGGAACATCTCCAAAGCAGGTGACATTCAACAGTTTCGCATCGATTGCTCACGTCAAAAAACCTGGAGTTTTTAGTAGACTTGGACTTTAAAATAAAGAAGAGTAGATTTTTAAATTTTTGCGTCTTATTGTAAATATTTAATTACTACAAGTTTGAATGAATTAAAAGAATGAATCGAAGAATTTTTTGTAAGAAAAAATAGAAGAAAAGTTCTGTATAATTTAATTTTTGAAGTAAGTTTAAACATTTATTTTTTCGTTTTATATTAACAATCTGACAAAGAAAGTAACTTAAAAAAAACAAAGTTAATTGTAAACACAATTTTTCAACATTTAGAAACTACTGTACAAAATTTCAAAAAATAAGTGAACAATGAGATTTATAACAATTCTTTAACGAAATTTACTTTTTAATTTTTTTTTTTACTTTAGAAAAACAATTGGTTTACATGAAAATTTAGTTATAAGGAAAGGTTATTGTACACAAAAAACAAATTTTGTAATTACATAGAAAACAATAGATTATAATTCTCCTTTAATTACATGTTTGTAATGCTTTATAATATAATTTTGTCGCAATAAGAATAATTGTTATGTTTTTTTTTTCGTTTTACCATTCCTCCGAGTTCTGTAAAGATTTCTGGCCCTTAAGACCAGAGAGTGAAGGTGAAATCGTAGCTGCTATTTTTGTTCTGAAAAATGGAAATAATAAAAAATTGTCGAAGAAATTATCAAGAGCAATTGTCAAGGAAAACATGCCTGATCGATTAAAATTCTGCCGAGATTAACAAAATGTTAAGCGTAACGATATCCTTCGCCCTCTGGTGTTAAGTGTGCCCAGTGATAATGCTGATGAAAATACTCATAACGCCTGGTTTCCTGAAACTTAAATTAACCAAATTATATCAACTAAAGTTCTTTTGAATTCAAAAATTGAACATTATTTAATCAGTCTTTCAGTGTTTTATAAAAATAACTATTCAGTTATACAGCAGTGAATATCTTCTCAGACCATATCGCTTAAAAAGAAAAATGATCGAAATATATTAAAATTGGTTGCAGTGTGTCAATTGGATAAGAGTAAAAATAAAAAATTTTCTTTTTTTTTTCGATACTTTTATACTTAACCTGGTCAAGCTGCAACCTGATCATAATAATCATCGTTTTTTTAAATGATCCGAGAAATGTCCAAAATTGTAAACAATCTCCAACCAGGTTACTGTAAACATTCCACAGATCGTAAATATCTCGCATACATTATTTTACATACAATAAATTATTTTATGGTCACAAAATCTTTAAGTTCACAGCTAACGTGTATCATAATTATTGTGATAAAAACTTGATAATATTTTAAAACTATTTTAAACTATTTTAAACTATTCAATATCTTGAAGGAAGAATCCGATAGAATATCCGAACAAAAGTTCGAATTTTACATATAAAAGTTAAATTAAATTTTAAATTCGATTTAAAGAAAGCGAAAAAATTTAATTTTCAATATTTTAAACAATTAAATACTTTTGAATAAAATTTGAAACATTTGAATAAAAATTACGATTTCCTGGCAATAAGAAACGATTTAAGGAAGATAATCTAAAATTTAAGAAATATTTGTTTATTTCTTATTTTTATGTTTCTTATTGGCAAAAAATTGTAATTTTTACTCAAATTCAACTTTTCGGTTTAAAATGTTAAAAATTAAATTCTTTGCTCGAAAAATTACAGAAAATTTACAGACTAATTAAAATTAAAATTGTTTTTATTGGAAGCGAAAAGAATTTAATTTTCAACAATGAAAAGTTGTATTTTGCATAAAAAATACAATTTTCTGTCAATAAGAAACGAATTTAGTAACATAATATAAAATTTAAGAAATATTTGTTTATTTTCTTATTCTTATGGCAAAAAATGGTAATTTTTACTCAAATTTATTTCATATAAACGGGTTTACAAAATTTACCCTTTATTAAGAGAAAAAAAAGAATATAAAAAAATAATAGGTAATAATAAAAATATAAAATTATGAATATAAATATTGAATAAAAATTCAACTTTTCACAGATTAAAATATTGAAAATTACAATTTTTGTGCAAGAAATTATGGAAAATTAACAGACAACTTAAATTTTAATTTGTCCTTAGTGTTAGTGTAAAGAATTTAATTTTAAACAATTAAAAATTGTATTTTGCATAAAAAAACACAATTTTCTATTAATAAGAAACGAATTTTGTAACATAATCTAAAATTTAAGAATTATTTCATTATTTCTTATTTTTATTTTTTATTGACAAAAATTGTGATTTTTTACTCAAATTCAAATTTTGACAGTTTAAAATGTTGAAAATTAAATCCTTTACTCGAAATATTAAAGAAAATTAAATTTTTAATTTGTTTTTAGTTGAAACGTAAAGAATTTAATTTTAAACAATTAAAAATTGTAATTTTTACTCAAATTCAACTTTTCACAGTTTAAAATGTTGAAAATTAAATTCTTTGCTCGAATAATAACAAAAAATTAACAGACAAATTCAATTTTAACTTTGTTTTTAGTTGAAGCGTAAAGAATTAAAATTTGCATTTTGCATACAAAATTGTAATTTTTACTCAAATTCAACTTTTGACATTTAAAAATTTTGAAAATTAAATTCTTTGCTCGAAAAATTACAGAAAATTAACAGACAAATTAATGTTTAAATTTGTTTTAGTGGAAGTGTAAAAAATTTAATTTTAAACAATAAAAAGTTGAATTTGAGTAAAAAATACAAATTTTTGTCAATAAAAACGAATTTTATTATGTTACTACATAATCTAAAAAATTTAAGAAATATTTGTTTATTTCTTATTCTTATGTTTTTTATTGACAAAAAATTGTAATTTGTTCTCAAATTCATCTTTTCACAGTTTAAAATGTTAAAAATTTAATTCTTTGCTCGTCAAATTGCAGAAAATTAACTGACAAATTAAATTTTAACTTTGTTTTTAGTTGAAGCGTAAAGAATTTAATTTTAAACAATTAAAAGTTGTATTTGCATAAAAAATACAATTTTTACTCAAATTCAACTTTTGACATTTAAAAATTTTGAAAATTAAATTCTTTCTTTAAGAAACAACTGAAAATTAACAAACAATTTTGCATAAAAAATACCATTTTCTGTCAATAAGAAACGAGTTTAGTAAGATAACTTAAAATATAATTGATATTTGTTTATTTTATTGACAAAAAATGGTCATTTTTATTCAAATTCAACTTTTAATAGTTAAAATGTTCAAAATTAAATTTTTTACTAAAAAATTGCAGACCATTCACAGAAAATTAAATTTTCTATTTATTTTTACTGGAAACGTAAAGAATTTAATTTTCAACATTTCAAACAATTTAAATTTGCATTTGAATAAAAATTATGATTTTCTCTCAATAAAAATCGAATTTATTTAATATATTTAGGTAACAACTTAAAATTTAACATATGTGTCTCACTACCAAAAAATTGTAATTATTATTCAAATGCAACTTTTAATTCTTTTAATTGTTCGAAATTAAATTCCTTATCCTTCAACAAAAGCAAATGTTTAATTTCATTTAACTTTTTTTGTATAAAATGCGAAAAATATGACAACATTTTAGATTAATTTTTGTTTTCATTCCATTAGATTCTTCCTTGAATAGAATTTTTTAAAGTTATAACAATGAAACGTACTAAAATAAAATTAATAAAAATGCAAGTGAAAGTAGCATTAGTTTGGAAATCAGAAAGATTTTGTTACGAAACGAAGAAACGACGCCCACCTTTTTTTTAATATCAGCGTTACCGCACGGCACCAAGCTGCTTTCCTGGAAAAATGAAAATCCTTTACAGAATCGGAGGAATCCTCTAAGCGCAATTACATATCTAGATATACGTACGTATTATTATAACTTTTACATCACTTAAAATACCTTCTTTTTTCAATCAAAGAAGTTGTCCGTACATTATTCTTTTTTTAATAAACAGAAACTTTACTTCTTTCCAAGAAGATTAAAAATTAAATTCAATATTATTTTCAAAAGACATGCTCACTTTCCAAATTCTGATAAAATTCGTATTGAAACTCTCTTATTGAATTTTATCCGAATTTGAAAGGTCAACATTAAATGAAAGATTTCAGTAAAATTAATTCATGAAGGAAATACTGCTATAAATTTGATTATGATTTTATAAATAAAAATTTAAAAATGTTAAGCTTTAGTAAAGTAAAAAAGAAATAAAATAATAATAATAAATAGAAAAAGAAATAATAAGTAGGTATGGAAAAAGAAATAAAAAGTTTGGAAAAATTTTTTTCCAAAGAAATAATTATTTTCCCTTCAGAAAGAAATTTTTCCGAAACCGTTTCCTGTCTCGAAACACTACGACTGCTAGTTTCTAAAAAAAACTTATTTTTCCTACATAAGAAAGCCTGAAAATGATATAAATATTCGATGGCTTTCTATTAAAAAGTCTTTAAATGCAAAACTAAACAGAACATGATGAAAAATAAATTATATACATATAGGTATCAAATACCGACCATTTGTTGACATAAAACTAAATCTTATCCAAAGATGAAAGTTCCCTGAAGATCCTTTTGTCGGAAATGACGGCGACGAAGGTAATTAGAATTCCCATCGGATTCCCTCGTATCAACTAGCGTTCTCTCAATCCAACACCGAATTTACGCTATTCATCTGGCAGGAAGAGCAAAATTCCAGGGAAACTCTATTGGGATTGACGTGCAAACAAATACCGGTATTATCGTCCAAACCTCGGAAAAAATCCTCATCTATCGTTGTACACGTATCTTGACCAAAGTCCAGGGAATTTGACATATCCAATTGTGTGAGATCGTCAAAAATATTGTTAGTGGAAAAATTGGAAAAATCGTTGAAATCATCCATTTCGTCGAGTGAGGGTTCTGATTTGCTGCCATCTAAACTGACAGGTGTCACGGGATAAAGATTCTTCAATTTCTCCTCCTGCCTTGTATCGTCAAAACTTTGATCCTCATCTAATGATAAAATCGGGCTCGTATAATTATGATCGAATTCAAAGGGATGGGCCGTTTTTTTAGCAATCTTACCGGTTTTTGACATATTGTTGTTCATCCTGTAGGCATCTGCCAATAGTTGATAATTGTCATTATTGTGATCACTGCTTTCTAATTTTATTCTGTAGTTGTCGTTGAATAATTTATTGTCCAATGGCTCAAGGTCGGAGAGAGCGTTCTTTGGATATGTGGGTGGCAACACCGCATCCTTTTGTGATTTTCTTCGGATTTTCTCCAAATTTTGATTCATTGATTTCAGCAACATTGTGATACTGCTTTTATTGTTGAGAACACTCTTCATGTACGAGACGTCGGCATTTAATTTTTTAATGTCGATATTCTGCTTTTGTATCACTGTGTTGAGACTTTTGTTCTCCTGCTGCAATTGATTGAGTTTTTTTTCAATTTTTTCAATGTATTCCTTCTTTTTTTGACGATTTTCTCGAGCCATTTGGGCATTTCGATTGAGACAAGGACGTTTCGATGGACCACGACCTCGTTTCTTGACTCCTTCGCGAACACTTTCATCAGCCATATTTATCGCTTGAAGCCTTGAGCGTTTATGTAATGGCTGCAATGGCTGGTACGAGCTGTCACTCATTTCGTCTGATGAAGTATTCTCGTCTTGGTAAATTGGTCGCCGTCTCGGTGCCATTTCAGTTGAAATCAAATAATTCGATAGGGGACCCGTTTCTTTTTCTATTATTGGTTCCACTATTTGATTGAATTCTTGCGTTTTGATCACTTTAAACTCTTTTGGTATAAAATTCGCAACTGCTTTGTATTCTTGGAGGAAGGTTACTGACGTGAAACTCCGCACTCGCCAGTGAAACTTCCGCCTTGAGGCTGTTTTACAATATAAAAAGTTCAATGACCGTGTGATTGTACACGATTTTGATTGGATATGAGGTTTGGTTTGAATGAAACTACCAATCAGAATTCTGCTTTAATGCTGTGAATTGAGAACTGGAATGAGGAGCCTGAATGTATGTGAGTCAATATTTCCTTTCTTTGATATTTATTTTAGTTCATGGTCGACTTTGATAATAATAACAATAACAAAAAAAAAAAACAATAATATGCATGTATAGATATATTCGCACCTTTCTCTTTATCTGGAAAGGGTAATGGAAAATTTCTGAACAATTGCTAAGTTGAAAAAGAAACTTAAATGAGGCTATCAGAATGTGGTCATAAAAATCGGTAAATTTATCTTATTTTTAAAAATAACTTTTATATAAATTATAAACAATTTTTTAAATTGTACAAACTGTACACAAATCAATATATATAGTCTTCTTGACACAAATATGAATAATTCAAATTATATTTGCCGTGGGATAATTCTGTTCAGGTATAAACTACCTAGTAATTTTTCTCCAAAACAACATAATTAAACTACTTTAAAAAGTGAATTTACATTATTATAAAAGAAGTCTTAAAATATTTCGTAAATTTTTATTATTATCAAAATTTTAGAAAATTTCAATTTTGAATGAATTTAATTAGAAATTTTAAAAAAACTTAAATATTTAAAAAATTTTAATATATTCTACTTCTGAAATTAGTTAAATTTTTTATTTAATTAATTATTAAAAATAATGGATTTATAGATAAATTTCAATAAAAAAAACACTAAAAAAATTGAATTTTGGAGAAGTTAGTACAAATGATTGCAAAAATTAAATTATTTTAAAAAGTAATAAAATTTTCCGCAGAAGTACAATTATATTCCAAAATTAAAAAAAAACTCTAATAAAGATTTCAATTATCTTTATAATTAATAAAATTCGTCTCTGAAATTCAATTATTTTCAAAAAAATTTCCTCAATTCAATGATTTTCAGTTTAATAAAATTCTACGCAAACATTTAATTATTTTTATAAATAATAAAAATTTCACTGAAATTCAACTATTTACAAGTTTTTTTATAAATTTTTTTTATGAATTCAATTATTTTCAAAAATAAAAACTTTACAGGAATTCAATTATTTTTAATACAAAATTTAAATCGAATTTGTCGAAAAAATTCAATTATTTAAAAATGTGTTGATAAAATTCTTTATGAGAATTCAGTTATAAGAAACATTCAATTATTTAATCAATTAATTATTTTTGAATTTAAATAATTGAATTCTCCTAGAATTTTCTAATTGCAGAAATTGAATTATTTTCAAAAGTAATAAAATTCATCGTAGAAATACAATTTTTTTTCAAAAATTTCAATAAAATTCTTAGCAAAAATTCAATTATTTTCAAAAATTTTTCTCAATTCAATGATTTTCAAAATCTACTATTTTAATAAAATTTTTCAAAAGAATTAAATTATTTTAAAAAAATTTTTTTTTAAATTCTACGCAAACATTTAATTATTTTCAAAAAAAATAAAAATTTTACATGAATTCAATTATTTACTTTTTATAAATTTCTTTGCGATAATTCAATTATTTACAAATTTTTTAATAATTTTCTCCGCAATAATTCAATTATTTTTATAAATATTAACATTTTTTACAGGATTTCAATTATTCTCAAAAATTTTAAAAAGTTATTGTCAAAATTTCAATTATCTTTATACATAATAAAATTCTTCTCCAAATTTTTCTTTAATTCTGTAAGATTTTATTAAAGTTTGTTCATAAAACTCTGTATAGGAATTTAATTTTGAAGAACATTCAATTATTCAATAAAATATTTTTTTATTTAAATAATAGAATTCTCTCGTAGAATTTTTTAATAAAAATTGATTTAAAAATGAATTTCAGTTAAAGTTTTAGATAATAATTAAATTTTAAAACCTTTATAGCATGGATTTTCAGAAATAACTGAATTTTGAAAAAATTTCAAATTTAAATCTTTGAAAATATAAATTTTTCGTACTTTTAACTAACAATTCTGTAGAATTAATTTTTTTGGAAAAGTTTAACTGATTTTTGTTTGAATTTATTTGGAGTCTTTATTTTCTAATATATGGGTGATTCTCCGCGTAGCGCAGAACTTGGTTTTTTTCATGTTGTAATGGAAAAATAATAAATAACTTTCATATATTTTTACAATTCCAACGTAAAAAGGTTATCTATATGTTTAGAAACAAAAACCAATAATTACTTTTGTATCTAATATTATAATTTTTCATAAATAAGCGGTTTTAAGGCTGAAAACGTCAAATTTTTACCTGTCCCTATAGGAAGTTTAGAAAAAAAAGTTAATAATTTTAGTAATATGCAATAATAAATACAATTACTATTGACATTTTAGTATTGTCTACTTTAGTACAGTTGAATAAAAAAAATTTTTTTTTAAAATTCATTTTATATATGTTTTTTTCAGTTTATGCTTGACAGCAAATTTGGATGCTATTTATTATTTTATTAACAAACAGTGAATTATTTAAATGAAAATGAAATGTTAACTTAAAATTACTTTTGTAAACACAAGAAATAACTTCCTTAAGTTAATTCAGGAAAAAGAATCAATGTTCTAATTGATTTATTCATTTTTCACTCATTTTATGTTGGGAATTTGAAAAGGGAATCACAAAATAGTCTCCACCGCAGTACCGGCATCCACCGACCCTTAAATATTTTATTACAAATTAAACAATTATTTATAAAAAAGGTTAAATGAAGCGTAGTTATATTGTTTTAGTCAATACAAATGAAGTCCATTTGAAACCGATTAAAAATTAATGATATTTTTTTAAAAAAAATAAAAATAACTGAAGGCGATTGAAAAAAGTTTCCACCGACCTTAGTCTCCACCGGCATCAGAATTTCCACCGACCTTTGTATTACGAAGAACCTAGTGCAAATGTAGTGTTATGGTGCCACATATATAAGGAATAAAAAAAACCCACATAGCACAATAGTATGAGGTAAGGTTATGTTGAGTACTAATCGTAAGGCTCATAAGGTTACACGATATTGCTGTGGTAGACCTGAGGTGAACTAAAAACTTCCGCCATGGAGGTAAGGTTACATGTTAGGGTGTGGTGACTATATATGATAAGGCCATGGTAACCTTACACGTTAAGGTTGAGGTAACGTTACATGTTAAGGTTGAGGTAAGGTTACATGTTAAGGTTGAGGTAACGTTACATGTTAAGGTTGAGGTAAGGTTACATGTCAAGGCTGAGGTAAGGTAATTATTAAGTTGTAAGGTTGAGGTAAGGTTGTGATAAGTTTACCAGTTATAGAAAATATTGAAAAAATAATTAATAAATAAATATTCAATTAAAATGTTAAGTTTGTTGCTCTTCTCTATTTTGGAAACCTGACATGAAGCAGAAAATTTTGAAAACAAATTTGGGGGGACTGGGATTCGAACCCGGGATCGGCGCGCATAAACCTATCATTCTAACTAACTGAGCTAAGTAGAGAACTGGCAGAAGGAAAATTAATGTTGCCTTTAAGGTGAACCAAGAAGATGATTAACTCCTTAAAGGCAACATTAATTTTCCTTCTGCCAGTTCTCTACTTAGCTCAGTTAGTTAGAATGATAGGTTTATGCGCGCCGATCCCGGGTTCGAATCCCAGTCCCCCCAAATTTGTTTTCAAAATTTTCTGCTTCATGTCAGGTTTCCAAAATAGAGAAGAGCAACAAACTTAACATTTTAATTGAATATTTATTTATTAATTATTTTTTCAATATTTTCTATAACTGGTAAACTTATCACAACCTTACCTCAACCTTACAACTTAATAATTACCTTACCTCAGCCTTGACATGTAACCTTACCTCAACCTTAACATGTAACGTTACCTCAACCTTAACATGTAACCTTACCTCAACCTTAACATGTAACGTTACCTCAACCTTAACGTGTAAGGTTACCATGGCCTTATCATATATAGTCACCACACCCTAACATGTAACCTTACCTCCATGGCGGAAGTTTTTAGTTCACCTCAGGTCTACCACAGCAATATCGTGTAACCTTATGAGCCTTACGATTAGTACTCAACATAACCTTACCTCATACTATTGTGCTATGTGGGAAACCTATTGCTCAGAAAAATTTACCATAAATTAATTAAATAAATTTCCATAAATTACCACGAAAATTTTTATAAATTACCGCAAAAATTTTCATAAATTACCGAAATAAAAATTTTAAATTGTGATTTCTACTTTGAATATTTTTAAAAATTACCGACAAAATTTCTTTAAATTACCTTACAAATTGCCATAAATTTCCATAAATTACCGCGAAAATTTCCATAAATTACCAAAATCCAAATTTTTAATAATAATTTAAATTTTACATATTTTTATGAATTATCGCAAAAATTTCCATAAATTTCCAAAAATTTCCATAAATTACCAAAATCCAAATTTTTACTAATAATTTAAATTTTACATATTTTTATGAATTATCGCAAAAATTTCCATAAATTTCCAAAAATTACCATAAATTTCCATAAATTACCATAAATTACCGAAATAATAATTTTTAAATGAGATTTATGATATAATATTGTTTAAATTACCGCAAAATTTTTTTTTGACAGAATGTGTCCAAACAGTGAATTAGTTAATTACTACACTTGTTTACAACAAAAATTATAAATAATTTTTCCGGCCCGCTATGGATTTTTCTTTCTAAAGCCTTTATCTTCAAAAAAATATATTGATATTAATCATAACGAAAAAAAAAATTTTTTTAATTTCATAAACCAAATCGTGCGCTACGCGGAGAATCACCCATATATTTAATTGAAGGATTTCTGAATAATTAAAATTTGTGTAAAATTGACTTGTAAACAAATGGATTTGAAAATTCTAAAAAGGAACCTTTTCAAAAGTTATTAAAAATAATTGATTTAGTGATGAATTTTAGTTAAAAATTGTAGAAAATAATAATTGAATGGAAATGATGAAAATGATTTTTAAGTCAAAGAGTCGAAGACTCGCAGTAATCAATTTCTTCACGTTAGTTAAATGAAACTTTAAATTGTTTGAAACGTTCAAAATTGAATTCTTTACACTTCGACTAAATCGAATTTAAAATTTAATTTGTTTTTTTCATGAAAAAAATTCGAAAAATATAAAGTTTTACTAACTTTTGTCAATTTAAAGAAAACAGAAGTTAAAAATTGAAAATAAGTAAATATTTAAAATTTACATAACTAAAAATTCAAAAACTATTTCTATTTATGTTCATATGTAATTAATCTATAATAAGTTATAAGTAGAAAGGCATTAAAAATGTTATAATAACCTTTATTCAACGGAATTCGTAACAGAACGTGAGGTGGAACGTGAAATGTCGGCGCGGTTGTACAGTCATATTTCACACTTGATATTGAACTATGTTTTAAAATGATATAAAACATTCTTTCTCGTTTGTTTATTATAAATCTTTTCTCTATTACCATCACAATATTTAAAACGTCCAACCCTGCTTATACGTAAATATTTATTTATATATATATAATCTATATCATATCATCTTAGTTCAATATCAAGAATCTCGCTATTCGCCTCTCCTGCAAAGCAGTTTTGCCATTTCGGGTAAATACAGATAATTGCTCAGAGGAACATTACCATCAAAAAGTGTTAGGATTTCAATTTTCACTCATCGATACCCGCATCCACGAACACTATTTATTTATTTATTTTTCTTTTATTTAAAAACACAACGTATTAGAATCTTTTTGCACAAGTCTTCAATTGTCCACCTTCAATTTGTTTCCACTTATATTACTCGATTCGCAAATTTATTTTTTAATCATATTTATACGTGAAAATGTCAGTATCCTAGTGAAGCTTTCTTTAAATTAATGTCCTTTTTTTCTAAAATGAACAAGCTTAAAAAAAAAAGAAACTAGTGATTCTTTTTGAAACTACTGGACGGTGTTTATATTATCTCGAATCATGACGAATTAGAGAAAATAAAACATTTTCTCAAAGTGCTTAATTCTGAGATGGCACTTAAATTTTTCGAAAACTACAAACAAACAAAAATAAATCGAGATTCCACTTTTACTCCACTAGAACACTTTTACATGTGCGTATATATATGTGTATATATTTATATTTTATATATATATATAATATATACAACTCTATGTAGCTTCTCGTTTCAATATCAATAATAGTTAATGTACACTCTTTAAATGTAGATAGTAAATTATAATAAAATAATATAATTAATAAAAATTGGTGACAATAGATCACAATTATAATAAAAAAAAAAGAAATAAATCTAACGATAACAATTTCCATTTTTTCTCCTTCTTTTCTATACAATTGCACAGATATTTACACAGTCAGTAAACACGCTGATGAGTTTAAGTGCCATTGAGCGCGCAAGATATTTTGCAAAAAAAAAATCTTGGGGAATTTTTTTCGTAAATTATATACGAAAAAATTTGGCACATTTCCGATTTTTTTTTTTTTTTTTTTTTTGAACTCTTGGCACAATGCTGGATCTCAATACAGATCTAGAAAGTCAAAAGGCATTTTTTTCTTAAACAATCTAAGATCCTAACATTGTTCTTTTTAAGTCACTGTAACTTAGAAAATTCACTCACATGCACACACACACTGGCATAAAAAAGAAACTAATTTCGAATACTTTTCAAGTCTTTCTTTTTTTTTTTTAAAAAAAGTTTCTTTTTGCATTTTGGTGCATTATTTTTAACATTGATGAAAGTAAAAAATTAAAAGTCCATTTTTTGATTCGACGAACGATGTGAATTAGAAAAAAGGGAGGGAAAGGGTGACGACGAATGGAGGGATGCGACAATCGATGCTTAATGTAATTTATTCCTGCGATTAATCACCGCTCTCTTTTTAAAAACTTTTGACATTCTTTTTTTTTTAATATACTCGAGCTAAGTCTATTGCACTAACGACTCTATACGTTAGAAACACGATTTGTTTTTTTTTTTTTTCTCTAAAAACAGTCACGAGATAGCCTATGGCGAACAGTAGTTAGTAATTTTCCTGCAAATTTGTTTATTTAATTTTAGGGGTTTTTTTGGAATCTAGGTTTACGACAGACATTGGCTTTTTTTTAAATAGTGATGAGAAGACCGACCGACTGTTTTCACGCAGGAGACAGAGAGAGAGAAAGTGATTCAGCGTCAAAATCACTTTTTTATGAATCGAAAAAGGTCGTGCGAAGTAACTCGGTGAAAGTTCGTTAACAAATATTACAAAAATTTGACTCGAGTGCCATGAAGAAGAGTATATAAATTAGATATTATTATAAATTAGAAATCGCTCTCGCCGATTGAGAAAAAACAGATACACAAAAAATGCTTCGATGACGTTTAAGAAGCAAAATTCGGCGGTGGCTCACTGCTTTTTTTTTTTTTGTTTTGTTCTATATAAGTATATTTATATATATTTGCTTTTCGTACAATCTAAGACGACGTTTATTACATGCCACTTGATGTTATTTTTATTTGTCTGCAAAACTCTAAACACTATTAACTATTTGATTTCACACTGTATTTTGTAAATACGGAAATCTTTTTTTTTCTTTATTTTGGGCTGGTAAAATCGATTTCTCAGTCCGAAATTTGGTAGAGACTGGCTCATGTTTTTTTTTTTTTTAATTTAAAATCTTAATACTACTGGAGCCATGATGCTGGAACCCATTGAGGCTCTCTTTCGAGTGAATTAATTTCCGTGAGTAGTTGATTGTACGCTCGATCGGTGTCATTGTTGATGATAATCATGTCGAAGAGATGACCGTATTTGTCCTCCATTTCTCTTGCCTTTTCAATGATATCCTTCAATTCGTCTTCCTTGAAATTTTCGTTATTTTTTATTCGCTTCTGTCGGAGTTTCTCTAAACTTGGAGGCGCAACAAAAACAACGTATGGCTTTAGATCGGAGCTTCTCAGGATTTTCAAACTCTGTGGATGAAGATTTAGAACACAGATTTTCCCTGAGTTGACGACGGAACGTATTGCCTCCACTGAAGTTCCATAGTATGCTTTCTCATATTCGCCGTGTTCGACAAATTTCCTACAAAGAATGTCCGATTCAAATTGTGAACGAGATATAAAATGGTAATCCTGTCCATCGATCTCTGAATCTTTTCTGGGTCGGCTTGTGTCTAATAAAGAGAAAATCAATTTAGAAAATCGTCAAATAAGAAAAAAGTAATTATTGTTAATTGTAAGTAGTTGTTTTGTATAATTATATGGAAATTATAGGAGAATTAAAAACTTACGTGGTATTGCTGCCGCGAATCGCTCACTGTCTTGCATTAATCTCTGTCGAAGTTCGTGTCGACCGATATTTGGAGGACCTATGAGCACAATCGGCCTCTTATGATTCGCTCTTGGATAGTATAAGGCCACTTCTTCATATGTAAGCACCTCTTCGCTATCATAATCTGCGAACAATTTGAAAATAATTCAATTATTCCATTAGATAGAAAATATTCGAGATTTGAATTGTGAACGAGAATTTTCCTGAAGTTAGCGTTGACGCTCAGCGTCAAAAATAATTATTTGAAGTCTTTAGATATGAAAATGTCACTAATTTTACTTCTTCCATTCATTTGTAGAGTTAGAAAAATTTCCCGCAAGTTTTGCACTCGATAATTAAATTTAAAAAACTTGGCAAAAAGTAGCTTTAAAAATAAAAAAAATTGGAATAAAGAAATAGCTATTTGAAGAATTAAATTTCACGACTAAAAAAATTCGTATTAGACAAGATTTACAAAAATTGCAAAAATTTTATTTATTTCTTATTTTTTACAAAATTCAATAATTTTCTAAATTTTCATTTAAAATTCTTTAAAAATACGATTATATTTAAAAATAATTTTTAAAAGTAGAAACAAAAATTCTTTAAAATATATAAACAGAGAGAAACTATATAAATTTATTTCAATTAAATTTGCCAAAATTTCCAAATAATTGGAAATATAATTTAATCTTTTTAAATTATTTACGGGAATTTAACTATCTTCAAAACATTTTACTTACAATTTTTCAAAAGACGAATTTTTTTCATAATTATATTCAAAACTGGAATAACTTTTCTTTAATAAATATTTAAATACTTATTTATTTTTCTGCAGGAATTATTTTAAATAATTACTTCTAATTCTAATCTAATTACTTCTCATTTTAATTAATTAAATCTTTCTGAAACATAACAATTTCTAAAGATTATAATTGTAATTCCTTCAAAATTCTGTAATTTTGTTGTTGAAATTTTTTATTAAAATTATTGAAAACTTTAATCATTTTTTAAAAAATCAATTAAATTAATAAATTTTTTTTAAATAAAAATTTTAATATTATTAGTTTTACAACAATTAAAATTTTCAAAGATTTCAATTTAAAAATCTTTTGAAATTTAATTATTTCTAAAAATTTTTGAATATAACGCTTCCAACATTCAATTTTGCGAAGAATTTTTTATTTATAAAAATAATTAAATTTTTTACAAAGATTTTTATTAAAATTTGTTAAAATAATTAAATTCTTAGGCATAATTTTATTATTTATAAAAATAGTTGAATGTTTGTGAAGAATTTTATTAAAACTCTTTTAAATAATTGATTTTGTTCGAAAAAATTTACGAAAATTGTATTTTAAATAATTGAATTCCTGTGAAAATTTTACTATTTATGAAAATAATTTAATGATTAAGTACAAAGAGTTGTATTAAAATTATATTTAAAATAATTCAATTTTCCTAAAGTATTTTATTATTTATAAAAAATAATTCAATTCCAGCGAAGAATTTTATTATTTATGAGAATAATTGAAATCTTACAATTTTTTCCACGAATTTAATTAAAACTTTATTGAAAATAATTCAATTCTTATAAAAAATGTTATAAACATTTCTTGAAATAATTGAATTTTTTCAAAGAATTTTAATAACATTTTTAAGAATAATTGCATTTCTAATAAATGATTATGCGTTAATTTTTGTTATTTATAAAAATAATTAAATTCTTGCGAAGAATTTTTAAAACATTTTTTTAAATAATTGATTTTCTTCGAAAAATTTTATAGAACTGTATTTTAAATAATTTAATTCCTAGGAAAATTTTATTATTTATAAAAATAGTCGAAAATTTGTGAAGAATTTTATTAAAATTCTTTTAAATAATTGAATTCTTTTGGAAAATTTTATTAAAATAGTAGATATTGAAAATAATTGAATTTCGAAAAATTTTTGAAAATAGTTTAATCGTTTCTAAGAATTTAATTAAAATATGTAATAATTTTTTCATTCGAATTTTCTAAATAAAGAAAAAGTAGCTTTTAGTGCCACTTTTTTTTAATTCCCTAAATAATTAAGAAAGATGAAATTATTGACATTTTTCATCAATAAAAATAACAAAAAACAGTTTTCGAAGCTGAGCGTCAATTCCAAGGGATATAAGCGAAATATAAAATGCTAAAGACAAAAAAAAATCAGAAACATTAATTTTCAAAAGAATGAAATGGAAATTACCGTCAATACTTGTCGTTGCATAAAGAGGATATCCATCGTCATTGAAATTCGAACCAAATTTATTTCGTTTCTTCTTCTTTGGATTTTTTCTCGCACAAAGTAACGTACTGGATTTTTTCGAACCACGTACAGTTGATTTATCGCCAGCAATTGTTTGTTTCATTGATTCACGTCTGGAAAATGAGGAAAATAAATAAATAATTGAATTAATGATAAATAATAATTAATATCAAAATGAGTGAATAAATAAAAATGAAAAATATCAAAAATAAAAATGAAAACTGGTATAAAATGAAAATAAAAACTCACTGATGCTGGAAGGCTTTACTGGGAATTAAACCAGCCAAAGTTTGATCTTCTTCTCCTTCTCGATAAGCTTGCCACCAATTAGGATCCTCTTGAGAAATAACGTTAAGCACGTCGCCTTTTTGAAAACTCACTCCCAATTCTCGACAAGGAATGTAAGGATCTTCCTCGGGATCGTAGTCGAAATGTGCCCGCACATGTTGTGTCTATTCAAGGAAACATCCAATTATACGTACAATTAAAGTCAATTTTCCAAATTTGCAACAAAATACATACTACATTTTTGGTATAAAATGCAATTTTTATTTTTATACTTATAGTATAAAATATAACTGCAGTCAAATCTTTGTAACCATATTTTTGATTCACTTTCCAAGAATTAAATTTTTAAAAATACACAATTAAAAATTTTTTAATTAAATTTTTTAATTTTCCAAATACCGTATTTAATTTTCCGAATATAATGAATATAATTTTTTTAAAAACAATTGTTTTTAAAAGCGTCAAAATGAAAAAATGATTTTTTTTTCAAATTAAATTCATCTCTAATTCTTCTGTGTGTAACATTAAGAAATTAATTGTTACTTAAAAAGCAATTGCTTAAAAATAACATAAATTTGAAACAAAAATAAAATAAATCATCGCTTTTTTTGTATTTGGTTTTTAAAAAAATTACCGACTTGAAAACCCCATTAAGAATTAATAATACTCGAATGAAATTGTTAATAGATTTGAAATTAATGTTTAGTTTCACGCAGTAATTAATAATTGATTTATTAACACTTTGCACTGATATATTAATGGCAAATTGATTATAATATGATATTGAATGTAAAGTGAAATATTAAATAATTGATTGGATTAGATTGTCGAAAGTTTCGAAAATTAATTGCACTAATTGATTTACCTGTTGATTATCTTCTCGTTTATTATTATTCGAATTCGAATTTATTGTAGGAGCAGGAAATATTAGGAACGTCAGACTTCCTTGCATTCCAGCTAAAATGTCACAGACTTCATTCACACTCTTTCCTCGCATTTCGACGCCATTCACTTCTAGCACCTCGTCACCTTCATGTAACAATCCCGATTTATCGGCAGCTCCTCCTCGCACCACACGACCTGTAATCCGAAAGAAATATTTCGTCACTCATCATTGAATCCTTTATTCGTGAATGTTGAAAATTATGAAAATTAGAATTTAAATTAATAAAATTAAAAAAGTTGATGAAGTTTACAAATTTTGTGATCTATGATTAAAACAAAAATTTATACTTTTCACAGGAAAAGGAATAAACTTTTTTGTTAACAAATTTTTTTTAGTTTTATTCTTTACAAATTTTATGATTAATAATTAATAAAAAATTATACTTTTTAGTTTTTACAAATAAGACAATAAACTTTTTTCTTGACAATTTTTTTTGTTTTATTTTTCACAAATCTTAAGATCAAGGATTTAAATAAAGTTTTACTTTTCACAGAAAAAGGAATAACATTTTTTGTTTACAAATTTTCTTTTCGAAATTTCATAAAGATTTTGAACATTCAAATGAACGAAAGTTCTTTCTTTTTAAATATATTTTTTTAAAATACTACTTTAAATTGGAAAACAATAGAAATTCGAAATTTTTTTACTCCAGATTTAAGTTTTTTAATATACAAAATATTTTTTTACAAAATACAGGGATCACAGTTCATTTTTCCCTTAAATAGGTGAAAAAGTAAATTATTTTCTAAAAAGAAGTGACTAGAAGGTGTCAAAAAAAATTATTATTATTTTAATTATAAATTCAATTCACATTTTAATTCGAATTTTTTTTTATTTTCAAAAATATTATCAAAATTTTTCAAATTTAATTGTTTCAATAAATTTTGATAAAATCCTTTCTAGGAATTCAAATATTTTCAAGAATTTTAATAACATTCTTGGCAAGAATTCAATTATCTTTGATAGAATTTTAATAAAATTTCTCGATAAGATATAATTATTTTTTAAAAATTTTAATATAATTCTTCGAAAAAATTCATATCCGAAAATTTTGATAAAATTCTTCGTAAGAACTAAATTATTTTCAATATAATTTTAATTAAATTCTTTAACAAATTTTAATTATTTTTAAGAATTTTAATATATAATTCTTCGCAGAAATTTAATTATTTTAAACAATTACAATATGAAAATTATTGTCAAGAATTCTATTATTTTTATAAATTCTCATAAATACTTTTTCTGAGAATTGAATTATTTTCAAAAATTTTAATTCAATTCTTTATAAGAATTTAATTATATTGAAAATTTAAAACAATTTTCGTAACTTTCATTATTTGAAATCTGAAATAATGTAATTTTTTCTTAGAATTTTATTAGAAATTTTGAAAACAAATAAATTCTTTCTCTTTTTAATTAAAATTTTTTTAATAATTGAATTCTTTTAAGATTAAAATTATATTTGAAACTAATTGAATTTTTGCGAAGATTCATGTTATTTATAAACGTAATTGAATTTGTGTGAAAAATAGCATTAAAATGTTTTCATAAGAAAAGAAAATTGAATTCTTGGGAAGAATTTTATTAATATTTATAAAAATAATTGAATTTTGCAAAGAATTTTAATAAAATGCCTCAAAAATAATTGAATTTTCAGGAATAATTCTGTTATTTATCTTTAATAATTGAATTCTTTCGAAGAATTATTTATATAAATAATTGAATTCTTGGGAAGAATTTTATTAAAATCAAAAAGAATAATTGAATTATTTCAAAAAAATTTAATTACCTAAAATTGTATTTAAAATAATTGAAATTCTGCAATGAATTTTATTATTTATGAAAATAATTGAACTATTGCGAAAAATGTTATTAAAATGTTTGAAAAGAATTGAATTTCAGTGAATAATTTTGTTATGTTTAAAAAGAAATATTTGTATTCTTACAATGAATTTTTTTTTTTTTTTTTTTAATAATTGAATTACTGTGGAAAATAATTAAATAGTTGCTAGGAATTTTTCATTAAAATTTTCAAAAATAATTGAATTCCTAAAAAAAATTTTTTATTTATAAAAATAATTCAATTTCAGTGAAAAATTTTGTTATATTTAAAAAAAATAATTGAATTCTTACAATGAATTATATTTATTTTTTTTAATATCTAATTGAATTACTGTGGAAAATCTTATTTTTTGTAAAAGTAATTGAATTTGTCAAGAATTTTATCTTTTTATCCAAATTTTTGAAAATAATTGTATTTTTTTGAATCATTTTACGAAAATGTTTTAATAATAATTGAATTCCTTCGATTTTACTTATTTTGAAAAATATCCTTGTTTAAATTGAATTTCCTTTTTAAAAATTAAAATCCCCTTTTTTACCTATTACAATGAATTTTAATTCAAAACACTTTTGTTTAATTAATTGATCAAAGTTAAAAATTTATATTGTTTAAAATTTGGATAAATTGAAATTTAGAATTCACAATATTCTCGAAAAAAGCTTTTTCAGACAAAAGTTTATTAAAGTTTTGCAACGAAATGCAATGGAACTAAATTGCAACGAAATTTAATCCAACAAACTAATTTCATTAAACAACTAATTCTCTTGATGATGGCTTTAAAATCCAAATAATCGCATTGATTGCAACTGAATAAATAATAATATTATTTTTAAAATTCTTTGAAATCGTTGATCAGAAACGTTATAGATTTCATCAATCATGAACGTTAATAAAATGGATAAAATGTAATTTAAAAAAAAGATTGTTGTATCGATTTATAATTTAATCGAATAACTGAAATGTGTCACTGTCAATTCAGCAATATTCAATTATATTTTTATCAATACGATTATTTAAATATTAACTCGGCCATCAAGTGAAATAAATTGTTTAACGAAACCAGTTCTCGTTGGTTAAAACGGTATTAAATAAAATAATAATAAATTCCGGCAGTAAATTTTAATATCGCGAGAAGATTATTATTTTCACATAAATCTTTGATCCGTGAAATAATTGACTAGGTTTTCTAAAAAGAAGAAAAATGAAGAAAATGAAGAAAACGAAGAAAAGGAGGGGAAAAAAAGTACTTTTCTCAATATAAATTCTTTTTCAAGTTCCATTGCAGTTGGTTAACCACAACTTACCAATAATGACAGCTTCTCCTTCGTTCCTTACGGTAGCCCCTAGAGGTTCGTTGGTTTTTTCTATTCTAATGATCTTGATATTGTCAGCTACACGGGAACTTAACGACGGACTAGGTGGACCGCTCGGTGAGGAGGAACTATGTTTTGCCTGGAAGCCATCCACACAGGAGATAATCGAGTCGTGAGCCAACAGAAGACCTTCCATTTCATAACTAGTTAGTAAGGCTGTTAGTTCCTCAGCGGCAGCTATCGTTTCCCCCGCTGTTGCGGCTTTTGCAGCCATTGATGATTGCCATTGCTCCAGGACCTCGACACACTGTAAAATGACAATTAAACCGTCAACAAGAAGCAATGACTCTTTCGTAAATGACCTTGAATTCCTCATTAAATCGCGGAATTTCTCTCTTTCTTTCTCTCTGTCACTCATGAATAGCAATCGTGGGCGTTGCCTACGCATATTATTTTTTTATTTGTGGAAAATTCATAAACTTTAAAATCTATTGTTATTTTCTGTCTCTCTGTGAACCTACAGACTTTCGGAGGGGTTTTGTTTGAAAAATTTATCTTACACTTTATGAAGAAATTTTTTTCCGAGAAACATTTTTTAGAAATGTCATTAAAATTTTGAACGTTCAAATTAAATGACTATTTTTACTTCTTTTAATTTGACTTTTTCTATTTTCCTAATGTTTATTTCTTTTTTCTTTTTATTTGATAATAATTTGTGTACATTTCTTTATTTATTCAAAATTAAGTTGAAAAATAAGTTTAATGTTTGTTTCTATCTAAATATTTTGAAAAATACTGAAATAAAATTAAAAATAATATTAACATTTATTAGAAAGTAGAAACGAATTAAATTTCTAAACTAAAAAAAAAAATTTCTAACAAAAATCAAATTTTAATGAAGTAGAAAAAAATCGTCGTTCATTTGAACGTTCGAATCTTTAGGATCATCAATTCATCAAAATCTTGTCTTTTTTATAATTAACCCTTTGAGGACCAAATTTTTTCTTAAAAAATCGCGATTTTTGATTTTTAAGCAAACTTTTCAGGGACAGTTATTGAAGTTTTTTATTTGAAGACCAGTGTCTGTCATACGAAATTTTTCAGACTATGTGAAAATTATTGTTTCAATATTCAGTTTTGAAAATGAGGAAATTTATGCACGAGTTAATAAAAAAATGTTCATGTTGCCTGAAAGCAACACTGGTCCTCAAAGGGTTAAAGAATTCATACAGAAATGTTTCATTTACAGTATTTTTTATCTCAATCTTGTAATTTTTAAAAAGATTGTTAGACAAAAAAGTATTTCGTTTACTTGAACGTACAAAATTTTAGGAAAATTTTCAGAAGAGAGACTTTTGATTTTTTCTTCAAACAGAAAATTTTTTTCGGTGATTCTGACAATTCTATGGATTGGAAAATTTTATAAAGTAGGAATTTTGTTGAACACAGGACTCAAAGTTCCCTTTTTTTCTCTTTTACCCCTTTTTATTCCCTTAAATTTACTAAATTTTATTTTAAAAAAATTTTCTTTAAGAATAGTGTAAGTTATCCAGGAAATAACAATTTTTAATAATAAATTTTTAAAAAATAATAAATTTTTTTAAGAATTTTAATAAAAAATGTTGAAAATTCACGATTTTTCAAGAATTTTAATCAAAAATTTTTTAAATTCTCGATGTTTCGAAAATTTTAATAATAAAATTTAATAAATAAAAGAAAATTTTTGTTAAAAGACAATTCAGTAAATTCTTTACAAAGAAAATTTGAACTATTTGGAATTTTTGCGACAATATTTACTATTTTCCGAATAGATTTTTCTACATACTTCCGAAATAAATTTTTTCAGTCAGTTAAATAAATTTTATTAATTCCTTAAAAAACAAATTCACGTGAAAATCTCAAAAAATTATACTAAAAAAATGTCTACAATTGAATTGAGAAAAATGTTTCAAATTTAAAAACAACAGAAGAGATTTTTAAGAAGTTTAAAATTTATTTTCTATTTTTTTAAATTTGCTTCATTTAAATCGTTATAATTCTGATTTCTCTAAATTATTCGAATTCAAACAAAAGCTTTTAATTCTACACAGCAAAAAGTTTCATGAAAATTCTTTGTTTATAATAAAATAGAAAAAGTTGTGACTTAAAGAAATTTTGAAGACAGAATTCATAAAAATGTACCAAAAAAAAATTCGAATTTTTTTCGAATTCAGAAATAAATTTTGAAAAATATTCAAAAAATAAATTTTTTAAAATTGTTTTAATTTATAATGAACGATAAATTTCACTATTTACAATGAATTCAAGTCCCTAAAGTTCTGAACGTTCAAATGAGTGAAATTTATTTATTTCTTCATCAAATTCAAATTTTATTTGCAATAATATTGAGCCGAATATTAAAAAAATAATTCTGAATATTTAATTTTGTTTTTGCTTTTTATAAGTCTTTTATACAAAATTTGTTTTATGTTCCAAAAAACTTGAAAAAAAGAAAAAATTTCCAGAAAAAAAATTTGACTCTAAAATGTTTATCTGAAGTCCTCAGCGTTGATCAATGAAAAAAAATTTCCAATAAGTATATTATTTAAAAATAACGCAATAATTTTGCCATAAAAATGTATAAAAAGGGAATATTTTTGTATTTTAACAACAATTAAAAGAAAATAATAGTTTTTTAGTTTAAAAGTTTTTAAGTTTATAAAAGAAATATTCGAATACAATAAACAAATTTTTTTTTGTTCATCAACGTGGTGAATTTTAAGTTCGTAAATATTTTGCACTAAAAAAATCTAAATAAGTTGCAATTAATATCAGAAAAATTTGCCATTTTAATGAAATAAGTGTAAGAGAACGGATTTTTTAAAAATAATCGAAAAAGGTCGATAAACTCCTGCAATTTGAGACTTACAACAATTTTCTTTGGAAATAGAAAAATTTACTCTGAAAATAGTTAAAATTGTCAGAAATAAGCAGAAATTCCCAACAGTTTAAATTATACTATGAAAATAGTATAAGTTACTTTATTTCTCTTTTTCGTGTTAAAATTCAAATAAGAAAAAATTCTTTCCTTGGAAATTCTATATGCAAAGAAGAATGTAGAGAAGCAAAAGATCGAAAAAAAAGTATTAAAAATTCGATTAAATTAAAAAAATGTCAATTAATTTATTGTCATTTCTTTTTAATTTAATCGCAAGTTAAAATTCGAGTTATTTCCATACATTTCCAAAATTTACGAACCATTTTCCAAAAATTCAAGAACTTTCAAGATAAATAGAAAAATAGCTTCTAATTTGAAAATTGTCAGAAATGAGCAGAAGAAATCATCGAAATCTTTATATTCTCTGTTCCAGAAAAATTCCACCGCCTCAGTCAAAGGGGATTGTAATCATAAAGAATATTAAACTCACATCTCGAGCGAGAGTTGACGCATCCTCCGAATAATGTTTGAGAACTTTGCCAGATCTCAATCGACTCTTCAAGGCGTGATGAGTCGACAAAGCGGTTGCAAATCGCCTTTGAACCAAAAGCGTTCGAACTGCTTCCAATTCAGCCTCGACACCTGGTCCCGATATTCCCAAAGCCCCGGATATACTTCGCAGTTGAAGTTGCAGCCTCTCGAGGGATGCAACCACCTCTCCGTAAGCTGAAACAATTTCTCATTTACATTAGACATTTATATTTCAAAAAAAGAGAACAAAAAATAGAAAAAAAGACTTACTATAGAAAAAAGTAAGTTTTCTCTAAAAAATGGAATTCAAAAAATCTCTCGAGTACCAAAAAAAAAAGGATGCGAACTGCCCTCGAGGATTTTCAAGTAAATGGGTTAATTTAAATTCTAAGAACTCACTGAGTGGTCTCGGGGGTTCCTCGACTTCTTGAGTGACATGACTTGGAGTGATGGGAGTTCGTCCGACGGTAGTCACCTCATCTTGAGCATAGGCAAGATTTTCTTGCCCGGAGAGACTCGTCGCGTGACTTTCCAAGGCCTGAAGCTTCTTCGAGTCACGGAGTGAACGATTGATGTATTCCTGTCTCTGCTCCTCATCTTTTCGCCTCTGCAGTTGCTCCTGAAAAATATTTTTTCACTTTAGACAACGACATTTTTTTTATCAATTTCTCTTATTTTCTATTATTTTTTCACTCTCGTAATTTTTTTTTAACTTAAAGAATATTTTGATTCACTCTAAAAATTAGATACTCAAAAAAATGTTCGATCGAGATATCTTCATGTTTTTTAATAATTGAAGACGATCGTGTGATAAAATCATTATTTTATACATTATTTTATACATTTGCTATAAAAGTAGCAAAAAGTAGCTTTTAAACTAAAAAAAAGTAGTAAAATAGTAGCTATCGAAAAATTAAACTTGACGACCAAAAAAACTCGTTTTAGACACTTGACAGAACTGACAAAAATTCCATTCCATATTTTTTCTTTTTCCTGACTTTTTCCTAATTTTCATCAAAAATATTTACTTTTTTTTAGACTGTTAATAAATTGAATTCCTGCAACGAATTTTATTATTCATGAAAGAATTGAAATATTAATAAAAATAATTTTATTCTTGCGAAGAATTTTATAACAATTTTTAAATAATTGATTTCTTTCGACTAATTTCATGCAAATTCTAATTTTTAAATAATTGAATTCCTGAGAAATTTTTATTATGCGCGAAAAAAATTGATTTCTTACGAATATTTTTCCAAACAATTTTTTAAATAATTCAGGGCTCGAAGTACGTCCGTAAATCCTGAAAAAGACCGTAACTTTGCATCAAGTCCGTAAAAGTCCGTTTTTTTGAAAAAAGGTCCGCAATTTCATTAAAAAAGGATGAAAAGTTCATAAATTGTACGATATAATTTTGAGAATTTTAGAGAAATTACAAATGATTGCAGAAATTCAATTATTTTTAAAAGTAATAAAATTCTTCGCAAAAATTCAATTACGTTCAAAAAATTTTTTTAAATTCTCGTCAAAATTTCAATTATCATTAGAAATATTAAAATTCTTCTCCGAAATTCAATTATTTTCAAAAAATTTAAAAAACATTGTCAACATTTCAATTATCTTTATAAATAATAGCAAAATTCTTCGACAAAATTCAATTATTTTCAAAAACTTTAATAAAATTCATTAAAAAATTTCAATTATTTTCATAATTAACAATATTTATCACACGAATTCAATTATTTTCTAAAGTAATAAAATTCAATTATTTTAAAAAATTTTAATAAAATCCATTGCAAAATTTCAATTATCTTCAAAAGTAACAATATTCTTCGCAAAAATTAAATATTGTTCAATATCTACTATTTTCATAAAATTTACCAAAAGAATTTAATTATTTAAAAAAAAATTTAATAAAATTCAACAAAAACTTTTAATTATTTTCAAAAAATAATAAAAATTTCACAAGAATTTCATTAGTAACAAATTTTTTTTATAAATTTCTTTGCAATCATTCAACTATTTTTATAAATAATAAAATTCTTTTTTAGGAATTCAATTATTTTCAATAGAATTTTAATCGAATTCATCGAAAAAATTCTTAAAAATTTCATTAAAATTCGTCCAAAGAATTTAATTATTTTAAAATTTGTTGATAAAATTTTTAATAGGAATTGAATTCCAAGAAACATTCAATTATTCAATAAATTATTTATTTTTGTATTTAAATAATTGAATTCTGATAGAATTTTCTCATAAAAATTGATTTAAAAATTGATTTCAGTTAAAATCTTTGATTATAATAATTGAATTCTTTTTGAAGAATTTCATTAAAATTTTAAAAATAATTGAATTTTATTGAGACATTTTTTAAAAATTGTCTTAAAAATAATTGAATTTGTACCAAAAAAAGTTTTATCAAATCTTTTTAAAATGTTTGAATTTCTGCTAAAATTCTCATATTTTTGAAAATAATTGAATTACTGTTAATTTTTTACAAGAATTTAATTATTTTTGAAAATTTTAATAAAATTCTTCGCAAGAATTCAACTATTTTCATAAATAATAAAATTCAATGCAGAATTAAAATTATTTTATTTATTTTTAATACAATTTTAATCGAATTTCTCGAAAAATGTAATTATTCTTAAAAATTTTATTAAAATTCGTCGATAGAATTCAATTATTTGAAAATTTTTTTGTTAACGATTTTTTATGGAAATTGAATTTTAAGAAACGTTCAATTATTCAATAAATTATTTATTTGCATTTTATTTGTATTTAAAATTTTAAATAATTAAATTCTAGTAGAATTTTCTAATAAAAATTAATTTTCATTTCATAAAAATGAATTTCAGTTAAAATTTTAGATAATAATTGAATATTAAATGCAATAGAGCGTGAATTTTAAAAAATAATTGAGTTTTGTAATTAATTTTTTTGAAAAAGTTTAATTGAGTTTTTTTTTAATATTATTTTTAGTTTCTATTCTCTAATATTTATTTAATTAAAGAATTTACGAATAATTGAAATTTCGTAAAATTGAATATTGCGTAAAGAAATGAATTTGAAAATTGTCAAAGAATTTTTTCGAAAATTATTAAAAATAATCGATATAAAGAAGAATTTTAGGTAAAAATCTTTAAAAATATTAATTGAATTGATAATGATTTTAATTATTACTTTAATTATACTTTCACTGCTTCGAGCCATGATAATTGAATTTCGATATCTTTATGCTTTATAATAATATTTTCACAATTTATTGAATAATTTTACAAAATAAATTAAATGAATGTAGTAGAAAATTTTTTTTGAGTTTAATAATTTGCAGAGTGAATCAGAATAATCTTTAGTATCAGAGAAAATGTGAAAATTTTCGTCTGGAAATCAGGGAAAAAGAAAATAAAATTTTTCCGTCAACCCCGATAAATTATAATCTAATTTACAATGAATTAAACTTTAACACGATTTTAAACAGTTAAATTGTTTGAAATGAGTAGTTTTGAAGTTTGAATCTTTGCTAATTGAAATTTTGGGGAAGAGAAATTTTCAAGTTTACTCAAGTACTTGTAAGTTATTGATGAGTAAAAGCACTTTATAATAGCTTCTCGTTGTTCGGTATTAGTTTCGGGAATGGATATTTAATTTCGAAAAGGTTGCACATCGTGTATATCCCCCTATAATGTATTCTATACTGATTATAACATCAATAACACCTTCTTGTAACTGTATATTTGAGACGTGTAATTTCATATCCCCCATGAGACTCTTAAAATTCCAAACTGCATACAACTTAAGCTAGATTATCCGAGCAGAGGTTTCCTGAAAGATAAACATTCCCCATAGACAACATCCGTCTAACTAGTTTGACTGCATCCTTTTTCTCATGCTCCCATAATATTATTGATTTTGTTTTCCCAAGCCTTGTTTTCTATTTTTCTGTTTTTTTTTGCTAATTTCTACTTTGTAGCAAATTATTTATCAGGTTTTCAGTATTTTTTAATCAAAACACTATTCTCTTTATAATCAAATTTTTTAACACGATTCAATTATTTTCAAAAAATATTCGAAATTCATTTTCAATATCTAGTATTTTCATCAAATTTCTAAAAAGAATTCAATTATTTAAAAAAAAAAATTTATTCAATTATTTAAAATAGAATTTGCAAAAAATTAGTCGAAAGAAAACAATTATTATTGAAATTTTTTTTAAATTCTTGGCAAGAATTAAATTGATAAAATTCAATTATTTTCATAAATAATAAAATTTCCGCCAGGATTCAATTAATTTAGAATCAGATTTTGAAAAAAAATCGAAAACAAATTTTAATAAAAAATAAAATTATATTAAAAGTTTTAAAAATAATTAAATTCTTGAGAAAAATTTTATTAAATTTTTTGAAAATAATGGAATTTTTGTAGAGAATTGTATTATTTCTGAAGATAACTAAATCCTTTCTTTAAAAAATGTTATTAAAATTTTTTGATAAAAACTCAATATTCTTTCTAAGAATTATGTTATTTATGAGGATAATTGAATTTTTGCCAAGAATGTTATTAAAATTTTTTGTTAATAATTGAATTCCTGGTTTTTTGCGAAGAATTTTGTTATTTATGAAAATAATTGAATTTTTGTAAAGAGAATTCAATTCTTGGGAAGAATTTTATTAAAATTTTCGAAAATAATTGAATTTTTGTGAAGAATTGTATTTTTTCTTACCATAATTAATTAATTATTCTTTCCTTAAATATTATTAAAATTTTTTGATAAAAACTCAATTCTTTCTAAGAATTTTGTTATTTATGAGGATAATTAAATTTTTGTGAAGAGAATTCAATTCTTGGGAAGAATTTTATTAAATTTTTTTGAAAATAATTGAATTTTTGTGAAGAATTGTATTATTTCTTAAGATAATTGAATTCTTGCCTTAAATGATATTTAATTTTTTTTGATAAAAATTGAATTCATTGCCAAAATTTTTTTTAAACTTTTAAAAATAATTGAATTTTTGCCAAGAATGTTATTAAATTTTTTTGATAATAATCGAATTCCTGGTTTTTTGCGAAGAATTTTGTTATTTATGAAAATAATTGAATTTTGGTGAAAAGAATTCAATTCTTGGGAAGAATTTTATTAAATTTTTTTGAAAATAATTGAATTTTTGTGAAGAATTGTATTATTTCTAAAGGTAATTAAATTCTTTCTTTAAATGTTATTAAGAATTTTTGATAAAAACTCAATTCTTTCTAAGAATTTTGTTATTTATGAGGATAATTCAATTTTTGCCAAGAATGTTATTAAAATTTTTTGATAAAAATTAATTTTTTGATAAAAATTAATTTTTTGATAAAAATTAATTTTTTGGTTTTTTGCGAAGAATTTTGTTATTTATGAAAATAATTGAATTTTTTTGAAGAGAATTCAATTCTTGGGAAGAATTTTATTACAATTTTTGAAAATAATTGAATTCTTGCCAAGAATGTTACTAAAATTTTTTGATAATAATTGAATTTCTTCGAATAATTTTATTATTTATGAAGATATGTAATTGAATTCTTGCCAAGAATAATATTAAAATTTTTTTGATAATTATTAATTTCCTGGTTTTCTGCGAA